TGGAACAAATGTTTCTTGTAGTATCGTCCATTATTTTTGATAAGACTATCTATATATTAACTTATATTATTACACCAAAGTGTAACAAGCAAACAATCGTTAGAACATGTAAATACAGGCTGAAACTATAAATACTGCTAGTGATTGTAAGTTTCCATTTTATTTGCCAGCCTCTTGTTTTGTTGTCTACTACAAATCTTTATTGAAACAATCAGTCAGCTACAGAGTAGGACCAGACACATATATGCATCGGTCCAAGTTGCCATATCTCATCAGTACAACAAGATGAACACCAAGTTCATAGAACCAGTTACTTCAGTAGTAGTAAAGAAAGATTCCGTATAAGGATATGATGCAGGAGAAATTAGTTCATAGAAAGTGAGGTATAAAGTAATTTCAATCTCACTGTTTAAGGGCAGACAGAGGTATATACACCTACGCCATTGTGATCGATTCTGAGCCATGTCACCCACAGTCTCCAACCATTGGTTACGATAGTTGCGCGGACCCCAACTAAGTAGTCCGCATCTACCAACATGGCTCAGACCAGAAGTTAATGACTTTATGGACTGATGCTACGTTTTGGTTTGATCGATCCTAACCTATCTGTCTCCAACACCAGTCAGCATTGCGCGCTGTAATAATAGGTGGTCGGGCATGCGTAATGCGTGGCCCAACCATCTTAGTCGGTGAAGATTTACAACCTCATCAATCGATTTACCATCATTCCCTAATACTCTGCGTCTAACCCCCACTATTACTTACCCGGTGATCCCAACAGATGCTGGCAATATTCCTAAGACATCTGTGATCAAATGCTAGTAACTTGCAAGTGTCTTCTACTCTTAATGACCACGTTTCACAGCCATAAAGTAAAACAAAACGAACTGCTGAGCAGTATACTCGTGCCTTAATTGATAGACGGATATATCGCCTAAGCCATAGATGACGTAAGTTGGCAAAAGCCAAATGAGCTTTTTGAATCTGTGCTGAGATTTATTCAGACACCAACCCATTGGGGCTGATTAGACTTCCAAGATAAACGAAGTTGTCGATGCGTTCGACTACTTCACTCCCTATCCTTAGTTCAGATGTTGACGCAGGCCAGTTCTGACGCAACAACTTGCATTTAGAGGGGGAGGAACGCATCCCAGACATGATAGCACTGTTGCTCAGTACTACCAATAAACTGCATTTTATCGGCGTCTTCATCATCTGCGTATTCTAAGTCGATAAGTGGACCTCCTGGAGGGAGATCAATGCCCGAAAATTCAGACGAAGAGAACGTTATTCCCAGCAGTAGGTCTATGAAGTTGAACAAAAATGGAAATAGGGGACAGTCTTGCCGGACACCACTTGGGGTTGCAAAATCAGATGACAGTTTGCCGCAAGCTCCGACTATACTGGTACTGTTCAAGTAAAGAGCCTTCACGAGGTTTATGTACTTCTGAGGTACACCTTTCAATGACAGACATTGCCACAGAACCTCTCGGTCTACAGAGTCAAATGCTGCTTTTAAGTTGAGAAAAACTATCGTTGTCGGACGCCAATAAGCATGCTTGTGTTCTAGAACCCGACGAAGGGTGAAGATGTGGTCGATGCAGTCACGATCAGGTTTGAAGGCGGCCTGATTTCCTCGTGTTTGCAGTTCACGCGTCTTTGTTAGGCGTCCGATAATCATTGAGGCTAGCATCTCAGACACTATATTACTTAAACTAGCCCTCTATAATTATCACAGGATGATTTTGACTCCTTCTGTGTTGCGACCACTCAGATGGGATTATGTCCAACTCCCAGATTTTCGCTGAAATATTAGTCAACCTAACCCCTTAAACTAGACCACGGTTCTTAAAAACGTTTTGGTTCAATCCATCTAGACTGTCTGCACGTCCTTGTTTTAGTTTAGCTGTAGCTGTAGTATGTAGGTCTATTCCAGTGTATCTCATCGGATCCCAGTTTTAGCTTGGTGAGGTCAAGTGATTGACCGTTCTCTGATCCTGTATGCATGTTTCGGATTGACATCATACACCAATCGTACGAGATTCTGGTGTCTTTGCCAAAGGGGCCTGATGACCAACTTGACATAGAGTACGTTCTTTGAAAACTCCATTATGTAATGTGGAACCGAGTTTCAGTTGACCTGGTAGTTTCTCGTGTACTACAATCGTTAGACATAGTGACACATTAGGAGGGAGTTTAGAGTCGATAGTCGGGATAGGGAGGAGTAATAGGAATTGATGAGGGAAACTGATTATGAATATAATGATCCAGAGTGCTTTTAGAGAGATGTATTTCCATGGAGTAAGGTGAGGTGTGTATTTTTAGGGTCGACCTTTTCTAACCGCATCCCTCCTTGTGGGAGGGAAGCATCGATGTTATGCTAGTTTATTGAAAGGAACACCTTACTGCCGTCACACCTCTGTACAGTCAGCTGTAGGACTTCGCCCTCGGATCTTGGGTTTGCTGCTTTTAGTCTTAGTGCTTTTCAACTGGCTTTTCTGGCATGATAGGACTTTGCGGAACAATTGTTCCATTTAGTATAGCTCGATTGGTTCATCACAATAGGCAAACCCGACCACCACGTCAGTGTAGCAGCGACGGTCGGGTTATTAGAGCAATATTTTTTTACCTTTTCGGGGACATTTTGTCATTTACTATTAGTCTTCACTGATGCACACCAAAAACAATCTATACAATCGTTAACATCTCACCTCAATTTATACCTTTATTATGCTAAAAAATATCTATTTCCTTTTAGGGTTTGAATGAAGATGTAAGTATCAACAAATTCTTCGATGATCCTATGTTGCTAGAACTAGCCAAACAAGACGTAATGCTAAATTATGCACTATAAATTTGTACATTTACTGTATTTCATAAGAAAATAAATAGTCGAACATTATAACCGACTACATATTACCGCATGACTTCTATTCATTTGTTTTTTGAATTTTTTAAAATGGCGAATGCACTTGCTCTGTTTCAAAAAGTTATTACATTTAGCTGTAACTTAATTACTTGTTACTAAGTCGTACATAAGTAAGTATCAACGACTGACTTTTTAATCGCTTGCTAAAAAAATCCGTAGTTTACCTGTCAGAGGTAAGTAACAAATTCGCAATGTATCTAGCTCGACCATGCAGATGGAATATGAAATTATACAGTTTAAGGTTAAATAAAGTGATATCTCCATACAAAACATGTAGATAGCAGAGAGTTACTAGTTCGACTTTGATGTACATATACATCGTTTCTCGAATTGATAAATTTCTAGTAAATCAGTTATAGTAACTCTGTACGATACTTATTGTCGTGTAGTTTTATTAAACGTACATTCCTACTTCCGACTGACGCTACCATAGGTGTAAATTGGTCATATATCACAGCCCTGAAAAAATGCACTAGAGTAAAGAGAACTCAATTTTTGTTAAACGGGAATGATGGGGGCCGGTAGTATAAGCATGGTAATGGAAAAATTTAGTGTTCTCGGTTATGTTGCATCTACTCCTTGAGTTACAGTGAAGGTCTTGGTAAAAAAATCCGATCTTTACACTGTAAATCAGTTAGAAATACTGGAAAATAGGTATCGATGCTAGTTTTAGGAGATTCGAGGCAAGTCCCAATAGTCGTAGTGATTTGAGTAATTAACAAATCAGGTTCGTAAAAGGTGTGTCATGATTGACTAGAAGTGATACGACTGCCAGCTCTTGATTTAGACATCTAACCCACCTCATGTTGATACGAACATATACTAGTGATGCTGTTTGGTAAAAAAATACATGAACTTATTCTAACTTTTGGAAAGACAAATTAATCTGATCGTCATAAGCCATTGTATACACATGTTTGGCTGTCGACTATTCAGTTTTAACCTTGATCAGTTCTCAAACGTGCATATATTTGTTCATCACTCTACTTATTATCTGCCTTAAGCTTATTTTTCTATCTGACTATAAATGCTGAACCGTGCTTGCTAAAATTAAGTAGGCAAGGGTGCTTCCCTCCATGCTGAAAAAATCCTGCCAACATACTTCCTATCTGGCTTTTATAACCAACGTTCCACAATCGTAGTTAGTACCAAGTACTACATACAAAACTAAATAGGAGGTTCATGTTTTACAGAGTTAACACGATGCTATGATATACATTCAAGCACTGACACGATAAGCTCATCTGCAAAGTTTCACTTGGTAAGATCCTAAAGTAGATGATCACTACGCGAGATAAACAGTAGTATATCTCTTTAGCAGAAACCTCGACTAATGAATTCCAAACTAAGTTGCAAAATGTCTAAATGTAAAGTCTAATCTTTGCCGACGTAGCAGTTTTTCCTGATGTAAGGGTCGGTTTTTCGGATACGAGCTAAAGAGGTTTGCCGGTTAAATCAACTGGAACAGTGATAACTTGCTAACTCATTTGCTACGAACTTTCAACAGTTGAGGTGCAGCTAAATGCACCTTGAATACAATAATGATAATGACATCAAGTAATGAACTATGGACACAATTTGAGGTGTAAAACAATGGGTATGACTATTGAATTAATTTTTTGGCTATCCATCATGAATTATTACCGGTAAATACGGCAACATATTCGTAACTAAAATATTTTTTAATGAATTTTCCTTTTAAGTCGCTTTACAATATTCGTTATATTCCCACTACCTATCTTGCGTGGTTGGATTTTTGTAATTTACTGTTTCAATTGAAGAAATATAGCTCATTTTAAATAAATATGTAGGAGTGAGTCTTACGGTAAATTGTCACCCAGGATATACTCAATAAAATAGAAATACATATATAATATGGATGGTTTTGCACGAATTAAAAAGTCAATAAACAATATAATTGTAGTAGAAAAAAGAAATAACGATGGGGTGCTCCCCTTGTGTTTGTTTATATACGAACAACAGGATGATTGCCGTATGTGACGTGATTTTTTGACTTAAGATAGTAAACAATGGCAGTGGGATAAATTGTGCTATTAATTACAAATGTTACTTATGCATTGACCTTCAGAACATCTCTTTCCGAGTATAGTGATTCAACGATAGATTGAAAGTGTCGACGGGCATTTTGACGTGATATTTTCATGGTTGGAGTTAACAATCCATTTTCAACAGTAAATGGATTATCAGTTAGGTAGATAGATTGTACCTGAAAAAATTTAAAACCATCAACTTGGATCGGATATATGAGTTAAAAATGTCTTTTATTAATTACAGCAAAAAAAGCGTCATCTTTACTCCAACATGACTCAATTTGTCAACATGTAGAAGACACCTCATTTATGAAAATTTCACCCTAACCCGAATGTCAGAACATCCACGAATGTACTATATTTACCCGATTTAGAAATATTAATTCATAGGTAGATAAAGCATGCGTCGTCTTTCAGACTATAAAATTGTTTTCCAACTACATTCACAAGTCTATGACTAATACTGTCACCCTGAAGTTCACAACAGTTAATTTAGAAGGGCTTTTTGTAGATAACCACGATCAATTCTCACTAACTTTTCCCCCATTTATATTCGCCTGTAGATTTATTGTATAAGATGGTGGGGAAGTTTTCCACATTCTGTCAACAATAATTTATTGTCAGAGAAGGGTTTTTGTGGATATTATAGTAATTTTAATGGTTGAGATCATGAGTCAATTGAAGCTAGATCACTATGGAAAACCTGGAAGCGCTGGACGGCCGTTTCGTTCTGTTGTGGCACTTTTATTTAGAAATGTTAAGTCGTAATGTTGAAATTTTCCCAAAAATTTAGTTTGTGCATCGAAACGCAGTATACTGGATCGACATTATCAGGGTAGTGGCTTTTGTTCCAATCAAAATAAAAAACCACATATCTTACATAACCGACTTTTAGTAAACGGTCTAAGCTACAATTAACAAAACATAATCTACATTGAAAAGTTTAGGTATGTAAACACGAGAATTAGAAGCTAAATAAAATGTAAGCAAGTCCTTTCAGTGATAAGGTGGAAATTACCAGATAACTTCAACACTTACCATTTCAAATATCTTTAATCCCTTTTCTGTTGCGACTTCATTCATTTTTCGCAAAACAAATCGTCGAATTTCTATGTTTTTGCAAATATCGGTGTCAGATAATCGAGAAATATCTGATTGTTTCAGATCGAATATTTTCCCATCATCTACATTACAACCAGATTTTAGGTAAGAATTAATACATGAACGTAAGTTTACGAAATTCGGAGTGACAACAGCGACAGGGAAATTTTGTTCCGGTTTCCCATCAACAAATATTTGGTCTATAAGTTGACAGTTCTGATAAATCACTTCTATTTTTTCTGGAGCTACATATTCGCCCTGTGCCAACTTGAACATACTTTTTACACGATCAACAATTTTCAAAGCGCCTTCCTTTGAAGTGTTAAAGAAAAGAGCAAAACGCTGAGGTCATAATACTTTACTGTTAAAAAAAAGATACTTGGTCCTAAAGAGCACTAATTTATTCTAGAGTAAACTTAATACATAATGGGTTAAGTTGATTGAAGTTGTCTGAGATAATGACATACAATTTCGGCCACCTGGATATCATCAATCAAAACTATGCATAACAAAGAATTCATAATTTATGTATTTAAGTGTTTATGGGTGGGTAAGTTATATAGTTTTAAGTAGAACACAGACAACTAAAAAAAGGTAACAACACTAAGAAGAAATAAAATGGGAACTGCTATGTCTTACCACCCGCCAATACACGCAGAAGACCATAATCAACCAATACATAGCAAAGAGGAGGAAGACTGGTACTCTATGCTTGACGATCGGCTCAACACTAACTAGCCCCGAATGAAGAGGAAGAACACAAGACCAATGATCACCCGTCCATGATCGCTACCATATTTCAGACATTTATTTATATACATACAAGACCAGACCGCGCAGTGAAACAGCTAAGTGTTAACATGAAACAACTACATTAATGATGGGGAAAACGGAGTACTGGGTGAACATATAATCGGTTCTAGTTTATGAGTAGAAAATGGTATAGCAAACGTTTACGGTTCAAATAAAAGCTTGAAACTAGGGTAATACGAAAATAATAAAACCAAAGTACTTATTAAACATCCAATCAATAGATATAAGGAAAATCGTAGAACGATAGCTTCGAAAATTGTTTCCTCATAGTTAAATTGTCACCTACAAAAAAAACTATATACAAGTAATAAAAATAAAAAGCCTCTTGCGACACGATCCAGATAACATAGCTAATGCAGGTCTGATTCACTCAAAAGGTAAATAATTGTGTTCAAGAGCAAAACAATAAAATCTCAAATGTCTGGATTGTGATCAGCAGTGGAACTTAGGACTTCTTAACATGGTATTCGCACTGAAACTCAAATTCAATAGCCATTACGCATTAACTAATAAAAACTGAGTCCAGATACATAATAACGGGTTAAACAGGTATGAAGTTAAATCTAGATGTTTAAACTTCTTTGCTGTTTACATCAAGGACTGCGATAGATTCGTATCCAAGCTTTATGCTATTTTGTAATCTGAGACTAGTAGAGTAGTTTTTCTAACACACATAGTCACTATATCCCTACAAATACTGACCTAACGTAACTTTTGGCTTCCTAGGATCATGGATAAACTATTGATATCAGTTACACCACATTTTCGGCTGCTAAAGAGAGTGAAAAATCTTTTGCAAAAGATCAATCTTTTGTGTTGGGGTCGTGAAGCATATTATTGGTTGATAAGTCTTATCGATTGCTTGCGTCTTCTCTTTGGTGTTCAAGTCGCTGTGCAGTTCTAGCTTTCGGGGTACCAGAATAGCTTAGGAAACTAATATAGCGTTCAATCGAGTCAGTCAGTAACAACGTAGAACTTCGTACGTACGTACATCAGTTCAAGTTGCCATACCACATTAGTACAGAGATGCAGTTGTCGATTCAAATCCCGTAGTGATAGAGGCGGTAAGAGTATAAGCAGTAATCGGGAAGATTAGGGTTTGGAGATGTTATTTAAAGAGTATAATCCAGTGAAATAAATTTGGAAAGAGGAAGAAAGGGACATGAAGAATTCAGAAGACTAGAATTTGGGAGAACACAAAGAGTGGATGCACCTGCGCCATTGCAAACGATTTTGAGCCATGTCATTCAGGGTCTCTAAACATCGGTTGCTATCATCTCGTGGTCCCCAACCAGGTAGTCTACACCTACCAACATGACTCAGTCCACTTGTCAGTGACTTCATGGATTTGTGCCATGTTTGGTCTGGCCACCCCTAGCTTTCTTCCAACCTACTCCTATACCACTGAACATCGCTTGTCGAGGCAGTCGGTCGTGTTACGTATGCCCAACGACCGACTGTCCCAACATGAGATGTTTTATGGTGTAAGAGTAAGTTGGAAGAAAGCTAGGGGTGGCCAGACCAAACATGGCACAAATCCATGAAGTCACTGACAAGTGGACTGAGTCATGTTGGTAGGTGTAGACTACCTGGTTGGGGACCACGAGATGATAGCAACCGATGTTTAGAGACCCTGAATGACATGGCTCAAAATCGTTTGCAATGGCGCAGGTGCATCCACTCTTTGTGTTCTCCCAAATTCTAGTCTTCTGAATTCTTCATGTCCCTTTCTTCCTCTTTCCAAATTTATTTCACTGGATTATACTCTTTAAATAACATCTCCAAACCCTAATCTTCCCGATTACTGCTTATACTCTTACCGCCTCTATCACTACGGGATTTGAATCGACAACTGCATCTCTGTACTAATGTGGTATGGCAACTTGAACTGATGTACGTACGTACGAAGTTCTACGTTGTTACTGACTGACTCGATTGAACGCTATATTAGTTTCCTAAGCTATTCTGGTACCCCGAAAGCTAGAACTGCACAGCGACTTGAACACCAAAGAGAAGACGCAAGTATGAGGGAAAATACTTTACTCCGAGGTCCATTTTATTACAGAAAATATAGGGTTTTTATAATATATCTAAATGTCCTTGGGTCGCTGGAATATTCTGGAATGCTACTAAACATAGTAGCACTGAAGTAGCCAACCAATCAGAGCTTCCGCATGTGACGTTTCGCTACCTTGGTATTTCTGGCCAAGACTCCAAATGAACGCTGATTGGACGAAACACTTCTTAGTGTTTCTTGATGCTTGCTTGTCTTTTGCAAGCAATTTCTGGATCACCCCAACATTAGTAGAGTATGGTTCAAGTCTCTTACAAGTGGGATGCTTCACATACATGCAATATATTATGAACGCTACTTTGGTCGCACTTAGTTACGTAGTGGAGTAGTTATGGATATCTTCTTTGCTGTTGTGTTGTTCATATTTCGGGTCAACAGAAATCAGGACTTCAAATGGCACGATTTCTAGTCACGCGTTGGGTGCAGGACATTAAGTTAACAAACAACCAAGACCTAGTCCTCTGAATTTTGCCGAAGTTGTTATGATTAAACACTAGAAACATGATTTATTTGCCTGAGAAAGAAACATCATTAAATTTCTCTTCTGGTTCGATAACTCTTTCTCATCGAAATCATGAACCGATCAATGGTAGACCAGCATCGGAAGCATGTAAGTACTGGACAGCCGTTTCGTCCTAGTGTGGGACTCCTCATAAATGCGCATCCATGGTCCCGCACGCAGTAATCAAGCCAAGCACCTTCGGTTTTGTGAGCGAACGTTTAGAATCTAGACCACTGAGCCAACATCCAACGGTGTTAGTGTCTAACTTCAACCTCGCACAACCGTGTCGGGTATGAGGTATTTACATACCGAAGATGGTCGCGCGACATCGTGGATTGGTTGAAGTTAGACACTAACACCTAATGGATGTTGGCTCAGTGGTCTAGAGTTTAGACGTTCACTCACGAGGCCGAAGGCGCTTGGCGGGACTGTCGCGTGCGGGATCATGAATGCGCACTTATGAGGAGTCCCATACTAGGACGAAATGGCTGTCCAGTGCTTCAAGGCTTCTGATGCTGGTCTAACACTGATCGGTTCATGATTTGGATGAAATTCAACAATCTCCACAACTACAAACTGAAAATTTTGTTTTTAACTAACTGGCCTTTACTCATTTTATTTTATGATTACTTAGTCTTTAGCGTTAGTTTATTGTAAGTAGGCACATATTTTTAGCCTTTTGGACTCCCACTACTAGAAATGTTGCAGAAAGTTCTTCTGCAGACGATATTTCATAGACGGACATCATGCTCTGGCTGCACTCATCTCTGCACCAGCTTGTCTGAATATGAGCAATAATTATTCGAATATCACAGGTTTATCAACTAATTTACAATATTTAGTTAGTATTATGTGTGTGATACTAACATTTCTGTCATGATTAATCAATCCATATGGTACATACGTTCATATATCGATCTGAATAAAGAAAAATTGGTTCGAAAGACACGTGGATAGATATCTTGTAAAAACGACTCTTACAAATATACGTTTCGTCAAAACTTACAGTAGTCCATTCTCCAATGTCACCAGTATGTAACCAACCATCAGCATCAATAATTTGGGCTGTACTTTCAGGGTCTTGGAAATAACCTTTGGTACACCGTTTCCCTTTAATACATATCTAATACAGAAATAGTATACTGATGAGAGAAGTAAACAATTATAAATATGATGCGAATAATTTCCCATTGTGACTTTTTTGAAACAGTTTAAAGTAAAATGTGACTACCGTAAAAGGTGTATAAATTTTAAAACTCAATCTAATACACACCAAAACCAGTTATTTTTGAAAGGATTCTATTCAACGAAAGTTTCTTTTCATTTCAATATTTTTATTTTATCGGACTATATTGTCTCCTGGAAATGAATCGAGTAAAAAGCTCATTAGTGAGTATAACAGTCTAACTCCGTATGAATATTCCATTTATTTTTTCTAGAAGACACTTATTGTTACTTCTAAATCCTAATGATGGGATGGTTCTAACACATACTATGAGGACAACGGTATTTGAGTAAATTATCAATTAATTGATAAATAAGGAAAACATACATGTTATAAAACCTGAATATCAAAACAGTATTTTTGGATCAGAATAAAGATGCCGATATTCAACGGTCAACTAAATATGCAAGGTAGCTTTAACTCTAAAACGAAAAAGATTTATTTCTAATCATAACAAAATTTTAGAAATATGTTCCATTCAGTTTAAAGGTCGATGGGAAGTAAATTATACAGGTATTACTCTGTGTAAGTCAGAGTTTTAAAAAAGTTCAATTTTCGACAAATGTCAGAAAATTCTCACCTTTCAAATATAAAAACAAGTGAAAAGAAAACCAGTTCTATTAACTCCATCAGAATATTTCCGTGCATGTTATTTTCAAAAGAGGAAGGCATATGCCAAACTCCATTGCCAATAGGCTAGAAGTAACGAATTCAACATTAATAGATCTACGCATATAAATTTACGCTATGTTGTGACAATACAGCAAAATATAAAATATTTTGTGATATACTTACCTCGCCTCTGTTATCTCTGAGAGCTACAATATCCATATCTAAGACATCACCAAGTTTGACTTCGATCCTAGAAGTGATCGCACCGACAGTACCTTCATGAGATTCCCCTAAGACAGTTACGCTAGTTACACCGGAAACTTCAGTTGATCCGTAACCTGCGACAATCTAAATACAGGTAGCAAAATTACTTGAGAACCTGTACAATTTATAGAAAGACTAAAAATGTTTAGAAATTTAAAATGACATATATTCAACAACGGATAAATGTTTATGTAGCTTAGTTCCAAATAATTCTTAATGAAATGCACCTGTCAAAAAACTGTCCAGACTTCATTTTCTAAGGTGAGAGTGTTTCTAACAAAAACAAGGAAGCAAAAGTAAATGTGTGGAGGCGGAACTCGATCAATCAATAGACAGAGTCCAAAGCTCGTGGTTCTGAACATTTAGATTTCAAGCCAAGTTTTAAACAAATTATGACATAACTTAAGATAAAAAACTTCGAATATGAGAGAGCTAGTTTAACCCTACATTTACTACAGATGCATAATAGTTTCACTAAATGTTCTTTCAATCCCATTATTTTAATGTATAAATATTTCTCTCGTAGCTTATCTCCGTTATAAGGCGCGTTTTATGTGTGGATTTGAAACACTAAATTGTTGCTTCTAAAAAGTCATCATGCACTGTGAACTCATGTGAGCAGTTAAAGCCTATCAATCTCAATACTTAACTTTTAATGGGGATGAAATATAAGACAGACTTGTTTGTAACTTCGCAAACTGTATCGATATGCACTTTATCACAGATATCCGTATTTGTGAATAGGATCTCTGTTTGATCATTATCAAGTTGGGTTTCAATGTACCCCCATTCAAAAGAATGGTAGGAGTTAGTCCGGTTTTTTCGGTGTCACTGTTACAAAAGAGATATGGTCAAAGACAAAGCACTTGACTTGGATCTCATCAACAACCAATTATGTTTCATTAAGCGAGGGGTTCGATAAAGTGGGAAAACGATCATCTAATACACAGTGTGGGTAGCTATAAACAGATAGTCGTAGTATTTATGACTACGGAGAATGTGTTGGTTACGGGCTAAATAGAAACGGTCTTCTTCGGGTAATCTTGAAGCTTATTCGCTTATCAGGATGACTGTGGTGTGTGCTACTTATATTGACATATGTAGTATATGATGTTAGTCGTGAACAGAAGGTCTGGCAGCAGAGGGGCAAGAGGATCGAACAGTAAAGAATGGAAACAGAATGGAATTGATATGAAAATGCAAGAACAATGAAGTCTGAGTCACTTTGAGACAATCGATGGACACTTTGCAAATTAAGCATTTATTTATCATTGTTGGATTTTATTAACAAGTCCTGTAATTTTGTGTTAAATACATTCGATTGTTCCCCACTGGTGTTCGTGTTCACTGCATGACTAATACACTCATAAACGTTATTCTGGAAATGGGAACTATTGAATCAATTTAAGCAAAGATGGATGGTGGCTAGCAATGCTTCTGACGTAAGGCAATATAGAGTCAGTCCGCACAGGATGCACATATGTCAATGAGAGACTGATCAACTGCAGTCCTAAACATCAAATGGGAAGATTTAAAAAAATATAAAAATGAATTATTGAATTAATGTTTTACAGCACATGACTCCTTTTGAGTAGAGACCGGTGATTAAAAACAGGACTTTTCCCGATAAAGATTAAAGCTAATATGAAGAATCAGACTAATACATTTCAAATGTCTGTGTGTTCAGTAGACACTGATAAAAACGTCTGTTAATAAATTTAGTTCATCTGGATATATATATGAACAAGTTCACTCAGTTTACTGACCTTATAATAAAAAGCTAATTAAGTAAAAAAAGATCATTAGTTTATGGTATTTTTGTAAGTAACGTTTTCACACTCTCAGATCGGAAGTACAACTGAAAACTTAATTTGCATTGCCTTGACACAACGAACAATAACATATAACTTAACAATAAAATTGCTTATATCATTCACTGAGGTGGTTTCAAGCAATACCTATAATAACCAGTTTAAGAAGAGTAGGGTAGAACTTAGTCAACTCAAATAAAATAGCTAGGTACCAGTCTCTAGATTCGTTTTCTAAGAAAGGTAAAAATAACACCATATATTAAGGGAATAAAGTGGTTTTCGTATGTTATTCAATAAATGACAGTTAAACATCTAGATACATGGTTTTCTGCAAACGATGTCGTTGTTTTTTCTCTAGTCATTAATTGTGAATATTTCCTAATAATATTGACTGATAAAGTAATATAGAAAAAAAATCAAAGAAAAAAGTACATCATACACTGATAAGAATACCAAAATATGTTTTGGACGCTTCTATAAGAAAATCGACACATCTTTCTTGAGCAAATCAACTATATGAAATGTGTAGAGAAGTTGTTAATTGATAGATTATTTTCAACATCGACTGATATAGCTTAAATGACTTTTTTATTCTACTTTGGGATATTGCGGGAGTGAACAGATAACTACTCAATAATGGTTTAGAACTTGAAGCTTTAAGTTCAAGATTATTTATTTATCGCGATCATCACCAAATGCAATAAGCATGTATTTATTCTTACTTACAATTCGGTTGAAAATATTGACCTAGACTTCCTACAACACAATACCGAAGTAGCTCCCTAATAATACTGTGGTGTATGTCCGTCGAGATAAGTAGTATGCAATACCCATCAGAATTGGGATGTCTGGTAGCAGATGGTTGAGAAGATCGAACTAAAGAGAACGGGAATGTAAACAGATTGTAATCGTAGTAACAACAAAAATGAAGGAACGACGAAGTATGTAAGAGACAATTGATGGAAGATGTGCAAATGAAGTAATTCATGTATAGTTTTCATATTTTATGAAGATATGCTGTAATTTTGTATTCAACAACAAATCGGTCTTCCCCACCTGAGTTCTAGTTCACTACAATACTATCTCACTTAGAAATTTCTAATTAAGGAGGTATTTACATTACAATCAAGAACGAAGATTTCCAATCACACAATCCTTACATGCATTATTGATAAGCATAAACCGATTCAATTACTTTTAGACGTCCTTAGACTAAAGTAGTTTCAAAGAATCTAGAGAATGTTTGGTGTATAGGCAATTCGCCGTTGAAACAAAAGTCCAGTGAGAACGACTTCCCATTTCAATAAAGAGAACCCGCCCAAAAAAACTTTATAATGTAAGACGAACAGAAATGACCTACAAGACCCTTGAAAGCAGCTCGAAAGAAGTTGAACAGCTCTGGTGAAATTGGTGCACCCCCTGTAACTATCATACATACCCTTCCACCAAGAGCCTGACGGAGCTTCTTGAAAAAAAGTGTGTCAAGAATATCATCACGATTAATTTTCCCACTAAAAAGGAGAAAACAAAAGAATTAAAATATATTGATCTTACAAAGGCCTATGCTATTAAAATCGACGTAATCAAAATTGACCGATTGAGCAAACTTGTAAAACAGGAATTTCACTTCTTGTCCTCTTCAATCTCAATATGAAATTTCATGAGTATTTAATAACTTAATGTATTATCGAAGTGAAACAAGATGTATAAACTTTATTTTTAAAAAATCTTTAACACTCAGCTTTATCTCATTGCATTTCCAGTCAGGTTAAGCATAAAAGTTTCACATATGAGGGCTAAAAGCAGGATTCTATTAAACATATAAAATTAACAGCATACTTAGAATAATGTCATTTTACTGCTTCCGTGTTTGTAAAAAGCTAAAACCTACATCGTTTTAATCAAAATGCCTGATTTAATTTTCAGGGTTGAAAATACAATGTTTTTCAACACAATTCAGTAAACTAATTAAAACTACTATTCTGTAACTCGATACTCTTATGAATACTAACATAAAATTTATTAAATCAGAATAGCCTCTACACATGCATATACTGATAACAACTAAGGTGCTTAAGAGTAACCGAATTAGAGAGATGATTCCCGGGGTTCTAGTGAAAAGTCATGACAAATGGGGCTCAACCGCGCTAGATGTGAGGTGGTTGTTACCCATCAGACGATTAAATATGGTCGCGTAATATCACGAATCGATTGAGTTTTGATATGCACCTCATTGGATGGCAACTCATCAGTTCAAAGATTAAGCGCTCACCGAAAAATTCAAACGTTCATAGCTCGATCAATGGTGATGGGATCGTAGATGGGCACTACTAAGGAGTCCGATACAAGGACGAAACAATCATCGAAAGCTTTCAGGTTTTCAATGATTGCTTAGAATAGGCCATCTCGTAATCTCGGTAATTAAGGACTATTTAAACGCTACTTACATAAATAACAACATTCGAAATAGAAAGGTATTTTAAAATGAAGAATAAACTATTTAAGAATGAATTAAAGACGTCCATTTTAAACAGCAAAAAAGAGAAATTGTTCCATTGACGAAATAACCCTTTTCGATGAGTTTATCTTCAGTGTTGTACACGATTAGAAAATAAATAATGAAACGATAAATATCAAACTATTCTCCAGTCACGGATTAAAGTTTATTGGGTAGTAAAATAAGATTATTTGACATAAAAAACATTATCCAGAACAAAATAAGTAGGTTATCATTTAGTATAATAAAAAACAAATCCTTTACTCACCTGTTTAAAATCTTTAGATTTCTTTTAAGAGTATATTCATATAGATACCTTTTTAAAAATGAATTACCAAGTGCATTCTGGTATCTTTCATATATACGCGACAAGACACGTGGAACCGCCGGAAGTACTGTAGGTTTTAGAGCCTGAGCATCATCTAACAAGCCAGTAATTGCTCCAGTAAGAAATCCGATTTGTGCCCCACAAAATACAGCAGCAGCCTGCAAGTGCAAACATGTGAAAGCAAAGGCAATAAACAACGATGTTGTTTTCAAGAATGGCAACTCGTGTTCAGACTCTGAGATATGGTTATTGTCTGATGTCCATGATACTACAGTTATATGACCTTTTGTATACCAAAATGCGAAATCAGCATTGATTTATTAGATAACACATAACAATGACTAGAGCATAAATCTGTACCATAGAGTGGTGTTAGCAGTTCGTGACTAATTTACGAATAGATTACGCTACTTATCAACCAATAACTAAATATTTTATAAAACTGAGAAGATAAACCAAAAGTGTGAAATGGTAAGGAGAATCTTATAAAAGTTCTTACTTTCATCTGCTATAAAAGCAAACAGTACTTACTCTCAAGGAACGTTCTGAAATTCGTAGAAAATACAGTGATCCGCAGTTCTAACGATTATGAAACTCACTGATTTAAGACGTTATCAAATACAACCCAGAATAAAAGCCTACGGTTATAAAATCAATAGCAATCTGATTAACTTATACAAGAATTTCATGTTCTGATGTTTCTAATTGGAAGATGTACCTTCGATTTCGTTCGTCATTACTGTAAGAGCATTGCTTAATTAAGTGAACTGTTTCTTAGTTGTGCTTTTAACAGGACTTTTATCAAATATAATTGTAATTCATTTATTCTTTGATAGTACCATCTTTATATTCTTTATTTATTTACAATACTATCACTTCATATGTATGCAGCATTTTGGGTTTCCGATTGTACCAGGATTTATGAGCTTAAATAAATAAATGCAGTGAACAAATGAATACTTAGGTTCCTAACACAAAGACCAGTAGTGACTTTTATAAGGTTAATTCCTGATATCAGAGCTGAACCAGTGAACTCATTTCTATCTTTTAGTAATTGATGATTTCTAAACACCTTACCAAATGAATTCATTACTCAAGGATATTAAAACAAAACAAAAAAGGATACGAAAACTTTATGGTAAAAGTTTTCTAATAATCTTTTCCAATCACAGATCACTGATGTTTGGGGTGCTTTTGTCAAGTCTATAAAACACTTTCAAGATTAAATCTATTCATTTGAAAACTAAACATCTGTACTGTGAAATTCTTGTTTCATGATTATATTACTTGTCATAAACGAGGGTTCATCCCCCTCTCTTGTTTCTCATTGGTTAAATTAAACTGTTTATGCTCTTATTGGTTGAAACGCATTTAACATAGACAACCATTTTAAACACATCAGTTTTACTGGTTTGAAATTATCTGCTGTACTTGTCTCATCACCTAGAATGTAAGCTTAAATATAACTAATCATGATTTATTGTACAACCACATATATATTTTATATATACTTATATACAGATATTTCTGAGTAAGCAAGACAGTTTTCTGAATCCAATAGACTTCGAGCGAATTCAACAAATATTCTAATGAATCTGTCACTAATATTTTCACTACGTTGAAACTTTACCAACCATACTAGAAATAATTTTCCGAAATCAAATCTATGTAAGCAATCTACTACTATGCAATTTCAAACATCCTGAGAATCGTTAATTCTGCCGTTCGTAAAAATCGTCGTGGCGGTAGGCTGACATGTATCGAATACACTTAAAATGAAACTCCTTTGGGAATTCCGAACTGTATTTTAGGGCGGTTTCATTAAGTTGTAACTCACTAGTAAAATATGATCACACTGTAATTAATTACGTCTGTTGCCCCCTTGCAGAGGAGCATAGGCTGCCAACCAGCACTCTCCACATAACTATGTTCTGCACAGTCCTTTCCAGTTGTTTGCAGTTTCTATTCACTCCAATAGTGTCTGCCTCCAGCTGCCGACGCAAAGTGTTCCTTGGATTCCAAGTTAGGCCTTGCTATGTGACACACTGATGATTTCCCCAATTTACGTCATATCCCTCTGTATGGATCGGAAGTTTGGAGAACTACGAAAGCCATTAACCAGAAGATACAAGTGTTTATTAACAGTTGTCTACGCAAAATAGTTCAGATCCGTTGGACAGACAAAATAAGCAACAAACTACTGTGGGAGGAAACAAACCAGAATCCAGCGGAGGAAGAAATTAGCAAGAAGCGCTGAAAGTGGATAAGACACACATTGATAAAGGCACCCAAATGCGTCGAAAGGCAAGCCTTCACTTAGAATTCGAGAGTCCAAAGGAGGAGAGGAAGACCACAGAATACATTATGCCGACAAATGGGGACAGACATGAGAAGGATGAATAACAACTGGATAGAACTAGAAAAGGCACAGGACAGAGTGGGTTGGAGAATGCCGGTCGGTGGCCTATGCTCCACTACGAGTAACAGACGTTAGTATGTCATATCCACCCCCAACGTCTTTTCCTAATTTCCTCTTCAGCTCGAAGCTGGTTTGTTCTCTCCAACAGTAGGCTGTTGCTGATGGTATCCGGTCAACGGACAATTGTTTTGAGTTCCACATGTTCTTCAACTGTAGGAATGCTGCCCTTGATTTTCTAATCCTCGCCCTTAAGTTGGCATCCGACTCTCCTTGTTCGTCGATGATGCTTCTCAGTTGAGTGGAAGATCCCACCTCTCCCAGAACTTCTCCATCAAATGTGATTGGTTTGTTGTACTTCGTGTCGTATTTCAGGATCTTGCTTTTTCCCTTGTGTATGTTGAGGCCTACTGATGCAGAGACTGCTGCTACACTAGTTGTCTTTATCTATATTTGTTCGTGTATATGGGATAGAAGAGATGAGTCACCTGAGAAGTTCAAATCGTCCAGTTGCATCCAAGCTGTCCATTTCATTCTGCGCATCCCCTCAGATGTCGAGTTCTTCATAATCTAGCCAACCACCGAAAAGAAAGAAAGGTGAAGAGTGAGCAGCCTTGTCTGACTCCGATCCTCACTTCGAATGAGTCTGTCAACCGTTCTCCATGCACCACTTTGCACTGTAGTCCGTAGTATGAATTCCGGATTATGTTGCCGATCTTTTCGAGTACACCAGTGTCGAAGAAGGCTCCATAATGTTCACCTATCCACGCTATTAAATGCTTTCTCACAGTCAAGGAACTTGGTGTATAGTGACGAGTTCCATTCATTTAATTGTTAAACGATGATCCGTAGTGTCTCCATTTTGTCTGTGTACGACCGATCCTTACGGAACCCATCCCGTTGATCTGGAAGTTGGACATCCACTGGATCTTTTATTCGATTCAACAACACTGTTAAAAACCTCCTCTGGTACTGATAGTAGTGTGATGCCTATGTAGTTAGTTCTCACGTTTGCTCAGATCTCCTTTCTTTAGTTTCTCGATGAGGTATCCTTCTTTCCAGTCTGCCGGTATGTGTTCTCCCAAATATTTGTGAATAGAAGATGGAGTACGTTTGCAGTTGCTTCTATGTCTGAATTCAGTACTTCAGCTGGTATGTTGTCTGGTCCGGCTGATTTCTCACTTTCGACTTGTCTGATGATCGTCTTGATTTCATCGATCATCGGTTGAGTGGCATTTATATGAAAATCTGTAGGTACTGCTTTGATTTCTGGTGGATTCAGTTTGGCTGATTTATTCAAGAGTTCTTCAAAGTGCTATACCCATCTGCTCCTTTGTTCTTGAATCTCAATGGTCGGAATCCCTTTGTCCTTGACTAGTCTCTCTGGTTTACTATATTTCCTTGCTAGTTTCTTCGTTGCACCACATAGCTGTCTCGTATTTTCCTCTCTCGCAGCTTTTCCCACTGTCGCTGCTATCGTCCCATGATATTTTCATATCCGGTGTTGTCTATTCCGATTTTGGCTTTCAAGTTTATCATCAGGATTGTCAGATCCTTTTCTGAGCACTTCTCTACGATCGACTGCATCATCTCATAAATCTGATCTTTATCGTGGGTGCATAGCATTAGGTAACACTCCTAATAATCACCTCCTTTGTTCTGGAGAATGTGCTGACGATTCTGGATCCATGAGATTCCCATTCAACAAGTGTTTTTCGTGATTCTTTGGACAGCATTAGAGCAACTCCTTGTGTGTGCGAAGCATTTTTTTGCTTCATGACCAGAGTACAACAGCACCTCTACTGAGGCTAATCTTTTCTGTTTAGCTTGTGTCCAATGGGTTTCACTTATTTCGAGCACCGCTAAGTTGTGTCTCCTCATTTCCACAGCTGTTTGACTGGTCCTCCCGGTCTACCATATTGTCCGAACATTCCATTTATCTGTTAATCGTTGCTCTGGCTGTTAGAAAGGACATCAACTTGTTGACTTCCGAAGAATATCGGCTTTCACCATGAGGCGTCATAATCCTTCTAAACGAAGATCCTTAAACTCCCAGGGTAGAGTTTAAATGGTTTGATCTTTTTTATTCTGGTTAGCGTTTTTTTAGCAAGGTTGTTTTCCACGGGTTGGGGTGCTGACCCCATATCAAGCCCTCCTCCTTTACCCTGGTTTGAGACCGGCAGTAGCTCTAGAGTAGCTACAAACATAATCTAGAATATATATACGAGCTACTGCAAAATCTGTTAGAAAGTTACGTTATTATTAGGCGAGAGAATGAACTACTGACCAAAGTTTTCGTTCATCTAGGGTAGTAAATACGTAATCTGATGGAGAATAACTGAAAGAGAATAAAGTCTTTAGGAATTAATTAAGTGGCTGTAAATAGATGTCTAGCATATTCTTCAATCGTGATTTTCACCAAAGAGTACTTGGTACATGGACATAACTTATGAAAGGTAAATTATTAAGGGCGGCCTGCTTGAGCATCTGGGCTACCTGTTCCTGTCATCTAAATATTTCAACAAGTTATCTATTTTTGTTTGTTTTAATATATCATTATGTATATTAATCGCATAACCCATCCTTGTGCATTTCTGAAAAGTTTACAACCTTTCGTTGTCAAAGTTACTAAAACCTCAATAAGAGATAATGTGGTCGCTGGCAATATGCAGAGAAAAGAATATACATTATTCAGATGTTTATTTACTGGACTGCTAACATCTAACTGGCTATCACTCAATATTTATCGTCAGGATCGACCCAGAAGAAAGAAACGGAAACTTGTTGAAATACTTTGTGCTGAGAATTCTATATTGTACCGCAAATATAATATTGAATAAAGCTTATAATAATAATAATATATCATGATATTAATGGTGAACCATATACTGTTGGGTTATTAAAGTTACTGACAGATACTAATTAGCTTGGAGTTGTTATGGCGATTCTTACTCACCGAAACCCATTAAGTCTACTTTCTGTGTAACTGTTATAACGCTCGGTCATCCACTTCTGCACGAATGGGGCGTTAATTTGTTTTAGACAAATATTTACAATAGATACCCTCCTAGTGTCTATTCTAGAGGACTTCAACACAACTCAGCTCAAGAACACGCGATAAAGTAGGAATTGAATAACGAAAGACTTTTCTTTTTCAAGGAAAGACTATAATTTATGGATTACCTATGTGCGACGTTAAAGTGACCTTGAAAACGTCCACCTACTAACTAGGACTAAATGACAGTTATAAACCAGTGTGAGGAAATAAAATTATGATTTACAGTTGATTGTTAGGGTTAGGATTCGATCTAAGGTTTTCATCACGAACTGATATTAGCTTAAATGCCAAAATGCTATTTAGCCAAATGAATGACTGAATTTCGCGCCAAAATCCAAAACCTGTTATTCTACATCTGATCGGTTTTGTTCATAAATTGTAGTCTCCCCTCGTTATCTATCGACGAGTAACTATTAATATATTACCTTTGAAATTTTATTCACACCTCAGTGGCAGTCTTGAAGTTATCAATTCTAGATATGTTATCAGGAAATAACTGACTGATCAAGTTAACTGAAGTGGTTTATTTAGTGTTTTCCACTCTTAACAAGTCCTAAGTTCCAAATTCAATAGCCATCAGAATACATGACTGATCAAAATGACTGAGTCAGTTAAAGACCTATAGCCTAAATTTATAAAAAAATAGTCACTTCAGTCAGTCCTATGGGTTAGTTCGGATACTACCAACTTTTGTTTGATGTTAGACGAAAGATTAGATATACTTCAGACATATTTTGAATTATAGTAAGGGTAACAGTAAACAAGTTACAGAAACTAACTTTGATAATATCTAGGAACGGACAAAATGTTACTAATGTGATATAGAAAAAGAAAAATCTTGTAAACACCGAACTTCAATGAATTTTGAGTATTTCGTAACAGTTTGAAAATAACCCTACATGAATCTCTACTACAATTGTGCTGCTATGTAACTGAATATGAATATTTTCCCCAAAGCAGAAAAAACGTCTGTGAGGTCCATTAAACCCAAGTGAATAGAGCTCCTATTTATTTATACAGTGACTAGAAATCTTTGCAACTAAAATGATTTTCATACAAAAGATGACGTAAGTTGGTATATTTACAGTACTCATTGTTAATTTAAAATGTAACATAATTGCTCATATTATTAAAACTGATTGCTTTAATAATGTAAAGGCAAAAGACCTACCGAAGTAACTTGCTCCATTACATGAGCAAAAGGTAGATATGAAATGTGAACAGAATTCCGACAATACAACTGTAAAAAGATAAAATTAATCAATCAGTCAATCAGCAACAACGTAGAAATTTGTACGTACATCAGTTCACGTTTCCACACCACATTATCACAGAGATACAATTGTCGATTCAAATCCCGTAGTGGTAGAGGTGTAGTGAACAAGAACACCAGTGGGGAACAATCGAATGTATTTAACACAAAATTACAGGACTTGTTAATAAAATCCAACAATGATAAAGTAAATGCTTAATTTGCAAAGTGTCCATCGATTGTCTCAAAGTGACTCAGACTTCATTGTTCTTGCATTTTCATATCAATTCCATTCTGTTTCCATTCTTTACTGTTCGATCCTCTTGCCCCTCTGCTGCCAGACCTTCTGTTCACGACTAACATCATATACTACATATGTCAATATAAGTAGCACTCACCAGAGAGAGAGTAAAAGTATAAACAGTAATTGAAAAGATTAGGGTTTAAAGATGTTATTCAAGGTGTATAATCCAGTGAAATAAATTTGGAAAGAGAAAAAAGAAAAGGACATGAAGATATCAGAAGATTATAATTTGGGAGAACACAAAGCATGAATGCACCTGTGCAATTGCAAACGATTTTGAACCATGTCATTCAAGTTGTCTAGTCATCGGTTGCTATCGTCTCGCGGATCCCAACCAGGTAGTCTACACCTACCAACATGACTCAGTCCACTTGTCAGTGACTTCATGGATTTGTGCATGTTTTGGTCTGGCCGCCCCTAGCTTTCTTCCAACCTACTCCAACATTACAAACCATCGCTCGTCGGGGCAGTTGGTGGTTGGGCATACGTAACACGTATCCTAGCCATCTCAACTGATGACGTTTCACTACTTCATCGATCGATTGACCGTCCTTTCCTAGAACTCGTTTCCTAACAACTGTAACACCTATTCGGTGGTCCCAGGACATACGAGCAATGCTTAGAAGACACTTATGATCAAATACTAGTAACCTACGAATATCCTCTACTCTTACCGGCCATGTTTCACTGTCATAAAGTAGGACGGAACAAACCCATAATTTAGTTGGTAGACGGATATCTCGTCTACACCATAAATGACACAAGTTGGCAAAAGCTAGTCGAGCCTTCTGTATCCGTGCTGAAACTTCGTCATACACCAGACCACAAAGACTGATGAGACTTCCAAGATAAGTGAAGCGGACGACACGCTCAATTACTTCACTCCTCATCGTTAGTTCGGGTGTCGATGCAACCCAATCCTGAAGCAACATTTTGCACTTCGAGGGGAGGGGAAATCGCATCCCGAACATGTTTGCATTGTTGCTTAGAGTGGTCGGAAGACTGCATTTTTTCAGCGTCTTCACCAAATAGAACTATGTCATCGGCATATTCCAAGTCAACTAGTGGATCTACTGGTAGAAGTTCAACCCCTGGAAATTTAGACGAGGAAAGTGTTATCTCTAAAAGTACGTCGACGAAAAAGTTGGACAAGAATGGAGAGAGTGGGCAGCCCTGACGAACACCACTTGAGGTAATCAACTCTGATGACAGTTCGCCATGAGCTCTCACTCTACCAGTTGTGTTCGAGTAGAGAGCCTTTACAAGATTAACGTACTTCTTTGGTACTCCTCTCAATAACAAACACTGCCATAGAACCTCACGATCAACAGAGACAAATGCCGCCTTAAGGTGAGACGTTTGAATGCGTGTCTATGTTCTAGAGCCTGACGTAGTGTGAATATCTGATTTATACAACCACGTCCAGGTCGAAAACCAGCCTGATTTTCTCTAGTCTGTTCTTCACGAGCTTTGGTTAGGCGTCGAAGTATTATTGAAGCGAATATTTTAGACACTATATTAGTCAAACTGATTCCTCTGTGATTGACACAAGAGGACTTTTGTCCTTTCTTATAGACTGGCACAATCAGTGATTGAGACCAGTCAGATCGACTTACGTCTAGTTTCCAGATTCTACCTAAGACCTTAGTCAATCTCACTGCCAGTAATGGACCACCATCCTTAAAGATCTCAAGAGTAAACCTGTCAGGGCCTGCTGCTCTCTCTCGCTTCAGATTTTCGATAGCTTTTTCAACTTCGTAAAGAGTTGAAGGACTTGCATCAACTTGGCATTCAGGTCAACTGGAGATCTTGGGAAACGGAAGTGTGGTTGAAGACCAGTTGAACTGATCCCTAAAGTCTGAACAGTCATCTGCTGTTACTTATTGCCGCCGTCTTTTCTATCTCTCTTGTTTTCGCTACCCACCAGTGCTCGCGATCATTGCATAGGCTTCTTATCAGTCTGCGCTTAAGCTGACTCCGCTCTTCGTCATGTTCAGAGCCAGATTGGATGAGTTTTCGAGCATCTATCAGTGCGGTAGATGCTGCTGAGACCCAATGATTCTCCCTAACCTTATGGTTTACCGTACTAGCAGATATCACTGCTGTTTCCACAGCTTTTCGGATATCATTCCATGCTGCCTCGGGTTGGGCATCATTTACATGGCTGCCTAACTGTTTTCCTAGTTGTTCCTGAAATATACTCTTAGCTTGACTATCATTAAGTAGGGCCCTTAGAGGTTTACTTGCAGCGTCTTTCTTACGTCCAATAAGACGCAGGCAAATACGCGCCCGCACTAGAGCATGGTCTGAATCTAGGCATGTGCTCCACAATGAGTGACAGTCTTCCATCGAGCCCCTCTATCGGTGGCTGGTAGCGATGTGATGTATTTAGGTCCAACATTGTGACGAATTAGGGGGACGCCACTTTAAAAGATGTTTTTCCTAATGCTTAAAGTTAGTATCTGCAAGGAACAGGCGGTTATCTGAGCATAGCTGCAACACACGGTCGCTATTATCTGTTCTTTGAGCCACGACGCTATAAGATCCACCCAGGTGTCTTTCCCTTTCGCTTAGTTTACCAACTTGAGCATTAAAGTCACCAGCCACCATTACTACATCAAGACGCCTAGGTTTTCGGAGGTCGGAAAGCTTTCTGTAAAATTCGTCTTTTACATCATCCGAGCTACAGTCAGTGGGAGAGTAAGCAGAGACGACGAAGAGGCAATGACGAGTGTCCCTTTCTTTCCGACTCCTTACTGTTCCGTTTAGTCGGACAGCGCACAAACGGCTGCCTACTGAGATCCAGACTAAGAGAGCTGGTTTTGTCCTAAAACTCAATGCTATACCTACACCAGCAAGACCACAGGAAGCGGAATCAGGGCCTCCAGATACACGAAGCGTGAGCCAAGTTGGTTCGTTATTTTGGCATGGTGAGGTCAAATGAATGACACTACTCGGATCATGTGTGCGCGTTTCGGAGACGCAGTACACACCGATGTCGCGAGATTCTAAAATCCTAGCTAAGGAAGCCAGTTGTCCTATTTGGCATAGTGTTCAGACGTTAAAAGCTCCTATATGTAATTTAGAGCTTGGTTTCAAGAGACCAAGAATAACGTTCTGTGTACTCAAATCGCTTGCATTAGCAGCGCAAGGTGATAAAGGAACGTGAGAAGGGTTAGTCGTGCAGATATGAGAATTACTATGGGATTTGATTGTGACCAAATTGATCTCATGTGCTGTTACGGGCATGAGGGCTGATGTCACCTCCCGGTTGCTTACACCATGGAAGGGTATTTCTTGAGGAACCTGAAATGGAAGTGTTGGTCTTAACGACCTGGGAGAGTGACCGCAGAGCCCAAGGAACAACTGCTTGAGGCCGGTTACGCGCGGCCTTCTTGTGGGAAGCTTTTAACGTGTTAGCTTCGTTCTTCAAAAGGCCTCACCGCCGAAGACAAAAATCCGTGAGGTAATGTGAGGTGTGACAGTTTTAGGGTAAACCATTTTTAACCCCTTCCTTCCTTGTGAGAAGGCAGCATTGCTGCATATGCTGGTTGTCCGAGAGAAACATCTTACTGCCGTCACGGCCCTCTACAGTCAGCAGTACAACTTCGCCCTCAGACCTTGAGTTGTTGCCTTCAGTCTTACAGTTCTCCAACCGACGTGCCTGGCATAGTAGAACCTATAGAAATATATGTCCAGCCAATATAGCTCAGTTGGGTCATCACGATAGGCAAGCCCAACCACCACGTCAAGGTAGCAGCTACGGTCGGGAAATTAATCAATACAGTTTATGAATATTTTGGGCGTGAATAATTCTATGGTATAATTTAATATGTTTCAAAGATTTCGATAATATAAATAGAACAAGCGTACACAAACATTTGCAGGCAGATTTGAACGGAACAAAATGATTTATTCAAGATTTTATCGGCAGAAAGCAAAGTTGTAATAAACTGAAACATTTGAGGTCTAATAACAGTTCAAAGGAAGCAACAGTCAAGTCAGACCTTCAGGAAAAATAAAATAACATACTTCTCAATGATTTACATTTCAACTATGTTTACCAATGATCGGTAAGAGTATGGTAAAAGGACAAGCTTAAAACAACCAAAATGGAATTTGCCCAGTCGTTAGCTAATCAGCAAATGAATAAGTTGTGGAGGACGAGCAATATTGCAAAGGGTAAAGATATTTTACATGATTAATAAATCCATTACAGATTGTTCTGTTTCTAAATCCGTCCATATGAGTGATATTTAGCCGGCTTATCACACATTTACAAGAACGTAATAATATTTTTGGCGATTTACATACTGTTCATAGTTGTGTTTAAAATTAGGACTAATATGTCAGGGTTAGGATCAGAAGTTTACGGTCAAGGATTTAGAGTTAGGGTCAGGATTGATGGTTAGAATTTACAGATAAGGTCGGTTCGCATGTTATATTTAGTCTATTTTTGAAGAATTGAACATTTTATAAGTTTAACATTATCATTTTTATTTTATAATGGGAGAAAATAGTTTTCCGTTATCATTTTAAACGTTCTGAACATCATACAGTAGTACTTTTAATGCTCGTTTCACGTGGTATGATATAAAAGTTATTCTTTCTTGAATTTAGCTCGTTTACCCCATTCTGACTAGCTCAATGTTATTTCTTTTAGATAGATTTTTCACATCGGGATATTTCATATTCATTCACTTCTTAAAATAAAGCAAACAATTCGAAGTTTCCCTCAACCAGATGCTGTTACAGTCTTCCAACAGGAGTAGGGTATTTCCACCAGCATAAGTAGAAACGTTACATCTGAGATATGTTTTGAGCTGATAGACCCAGTTCTCAACTAACTCAATTAATTACGTAAATGGAGTTTATAAGGTAAGGTACGGACATTATACAGCATTTGACAAACTGATATATATATAGCATTCAAATTGCTATAATCATTTAAGAAATCGGGTCATTATCGTAGTTTTTCCGGTGTTTTAGTTTGTAAGCATTAATAATTGAATGTGACAACACTCTGACACGACTCTGTTAGACAGGTCAATCAGTTTACAGTAGTATTCAGCTGATAACTCTTAGGAAATAAATAGTTCATTTAATCAATACACAAATACTTTCTAAAGTTTAAAAGCTTGAAAAATTTTTTTGTTTGTAAATTACACTGCATTAAGATGTTTATGAACAAGGATCCCTGGTGTTTTTTTTTTGAGAAAAAAGTACGATTTCATTTTTATTGCTTTATTATACCAAAGTAACTTGCCTTTGCTTCCGTAGACTCCATTGTAGAGCAGATTGTATCTACCAAATTTTCATGACTAATCATGACACCCTTGGCCAAGCCTAAAATTTTGGATTCAAGCAAAAACTTGAATCATAATAATTGACAACATACATAAAAACTGAACACAAAAGATTTCAAACTAAAAATTACGAACAATTAACTATATTTTCTGATAAAATATTCAAGAGTCAGTAAGGTAACAAAGTATTATACAGTAATCACTGTAATGTTATCTAGTTCCAATTATTGATCAACGAATTTTGGATGATTTGCTAACAGTTTTAAAAAAATCTAAGTTCAGGAAATGTTGACGGCAGACAGTTGTGTCTAACTTACATCTAACTGTTATCAAAAGGCTACTGCAACTTTAAGTACAAAATCGATCGGCAAAAAGATCGCATAATAGTATAGAAAACTAATAGTGGATAGAAAATAAACTATCTGAATCTTATTATTTCTCGAGATGATAAGTACTATCAATCATTTACATAGAATATTACATTGGTCGCTAGCTAAACGGATAGGACCTAAGGCAGATTAGAGTTGAATATGATAATTGTTGTGATACAAAAGAGTTAAAGTAGCTCAATGTATCCGATTTTAGCCATCCATATGGTATGTTAAAGTGAAGCCAGTGCTTTAAAAAATTCATATTTGGTTTGAGAATGGAAATTTAAATCGAGCCATAGTATTTTTTTGAAAAATCTAATTCTGAACTAAATCTAGAAAATGACTGGAATCGTTGAGTGTGGAATTCGCAGCATGATACACGACAGAACGACACCAATAGCTAGAAATCACTTACCGTCCAAAACAACCATTAGTTTACGTAAGTTAGCTATTTGGTCAGTCAAGTTGACTGATGGAGATGGTTTTAGATCCAACATTCTAGAAACTGTTTTCAGCGTCAAGATATTACGTTCAGAATTTACCTAGTTGTATTTTTACGGTTTGTACAGTCAACTTTAATTTTAAAACGTCAGTGAATGAAATGAAGCATACATTCAACAAGAAGAAGTTAAAGTGACTTTCAGTTATCCACTATTCCCAAACAATCTAACTGGGAGGGTGACATATACCCAGTACTTTGGACAAAGTTGAAAAGGTCAAAGATAATAATAGAAATTAGGAGCTCCTGATAGTATGATTTCGGAGAATGTTAGTGACAATGGTCCAATTTCGGCAGGTAAACTAAATTATTAGCTAGATTTTTAGCTGAACATAATCCTATTTGCCCAGTTTTAACCATTGCAAGGAATTCAGAGAATTTTTAAAAGCCTAACACTCCGATCAAGCATAGATCAACAGATTCATCGAAATCAATCAGATCTATCAGCCAGTAAGAAAAACGACTGACGACTGCATGGTCGGACTTCAAGTCATGAGAGAAAACAATCAGAAAAAACATGGAGAGCAGCGTTGACAAACTACGAATAACCAACCAGATTCCAGTTCAACAGATGTTAGACAATTGTGGAGGAATTCCAGTAGCTTACTTTTCTTTGAAGTACGTACCGGTGTTGCTCAGAAGAATAGGAAAAACTTCACGACTAAACTAACCAGCTTAGAAACCATAACACCTGTAAGATCCTCAACATGAGCTATAAATATTTGCCATAATTTCAGTGGAATCAGTTTGATTAATACTATTACGTGACATTATAATTTATGGACGACCTTGTGAATGTCCACCTACTAACTAGGACTAAATGACAGTTATAAACCAGTGTGAGGAAATAAAATTATGATTTACAGTTGATTGTTAGGGTTAGGATTCGATCTAAGGTTTTCATCACGAACTGATATTAGCTTAAATGCCAAAATGCTATTTAGCCAAATGAATGACTGAATTTCGCGCCAAAATCCAGAACCTGTTATTCTAAATCTGATCGGTTTCGTTCATAAATTATAATCTCGCCTACCATTCTTATAAACCATTCAACCCACAATTAGAGCTCGTGAACAATGAACTCCAGAAAACTAAGCTGGTCTTTGAATTGGACGTGAGTGTTTTAGTCATAAATTTACGCTTTATCATGTTGCAGACAAAAGACGTATTAATTGACGTCCAGAATTGATATAATTTTTTTGAATTAAACTCTATAGATCGAAGGGTTTTGTGGCAGTGTTTATCATAAAAAATGTGTGCCAACGAAGTACATGAATTTCGTGAAGACTTTCTGCTTCAGAACTATTGGTTGAGTAAAAGTTTATAGCTAACCGTTATCATAACTGGTAACCGCTAGTGGTCTTAATTAGGACTGCCCATTATCCCCATTTTTACTTAACTTTGATATGGCCATAATGAGAAATTTTACAAACGCAGTAAAACCTCAAAGCATTATCAGGTGTCAGAAAGAATCGATTGAGTACATGTTTCGTGAGTGTAACGCCCGATTCTTATGCAAATATATATCCATTAATGTTAGTGGTCGAACTATCACACTGCAATTGGACACTGAATCCGATGTTACTTCAATTTCTCACAAAACTTGGCACGAACCTGGTCGACCAAGCATTTATCCTACTACCTATTGCATAAATAATGCATTAGGCACCCCAATTAACATTTCTGGAATTATCAAATGCATTATCAAATTTAATGACTTGATAATCAAATCCAAATTTTATGTTGCTGACAAATCTTTCAATCTATTGGGATGTGACTGGATCACAAAATTAAAACTGTCTGATTACCCATTTATTCTTATTTGTAAACCCGATTTTGAAATGTCCGATTAGTCATCTAATCTTATTTATTTTCTAGTGATTTTCAAAATGCTCACAAGAGTAGGGTACGACAAAAAAGTCATCCGGAATAATCCCGAACTCTACTTCACATAAGGGTGTATCGCCAGCCCAATTAATATTAGGAAGAAAAATTCAGACTTCATTTGACGACATGTATCCATAGAAAAGAAGGCCTGACTGTAAACCCGAGGTGAGGAGAATTGAATGTCAGTTTTCTAATGGGTTACCAAGTGTAAGAAATTTTCGACAATGAGGGTCTGCGTCGGTAGCGGGTGTCATCGTAAGAAGATTCGGTGACATGGTGTACAAAGTTGATGTTCGAGATAAATACCTGATGCGATATGTAAACCACATCCGCAATCGACGACTAAAGAACCTTCTAGCTCGAACCTGTCGCTAGATTATTTAATTGATCACTCAGTTAAATCCAAAGAATAAGACTTATTTTTTGGGAGGTAAAGGTGATATTGTAAGCCAATCAGGAGTAGCCAAATGAGAAGGTCAATCGATGGCAATCAGAGGTGACCTGAAGGACAATTTCATTTCCGTGGCTAAGAAATGGGATGGTTTCCTAAGCGGTAGGGTTGATATACATAAATGAGTATTTGTGCATATTATTCGGTAGCCTAATATACTTTCTTGTCCACTCTTGTGTTCTCGCTCAAGTAGTCAAGTGGGGAGTTAGCGCGTAGCACGTCGTGTATCAGTATCAGATTTCAAACACCGTCCATCATAACAAACTTCACCACAGACATAAATCTAGATGTAATATTTGCCTTGTCTGACTTGACAGGGATTGATCTATTATCAGGATATTCACTTATCAATTTGAAATATGAAAATAACATAGCCCTATTCGGTAACGACCCTGAAAAAACTGAGTTTTCTGATATCCATAGGCAATAATACTAACATGTTCGATATGCGTTTCTCTCTCTCTCTCTCTAAATGCAAAATGTTCCTTCAGAACTGGTCTGGATGAACTCATGAACTAATGATAGGAGACGAAGTAGTTGAGCACGTCGATCTCTTCATTTATCTTGGAAGTCTTATCAGACCCATTTATTTGCTTTTGAAGAAATCTTAACATTATTTCAGGAAGCCAGAATGACTTTTGTCAACTTCTGTTACTCGTGGAGTAGGACAGATGTTCATCTACCAACCAAATCGAGTGTATACTACAGAGAACTTTATGAACGTGAAATATGAACTTTTAAAGTCTAAGACATGCACAGGCTGGATGTTTTTGGTTATAGGTATCTTAAAAGCAATGCTCGCGTTTCGTGAATTTACCGAGTGATCAATGATGAGGTCAGACTCAGGGTACTAGGGAAAAAAGTTGAAAGTCGGTTGATGAGTTAGTAAATCTTCATCAATTGAGATGGTTAGGATATGTGTCACACATGTTCAACCACCATCTACCTCGACGGACGTTGGTAGCTAACGTAAAGTAGGCTGGAAGAAAGCTAGGGGAGGCCCAACGAAAACATGGCGTTAGTCCATGAAGTCATTTACTGTGGGTCTGAGGCATGTTGGTAGATGGGGACTATCTGGTCGCGATCGGCGAGATGAGCATGATCAGTGGTTAGAATCTTTAGGTGACAGATCAGAATCAGTACCAATAGAGTAGATACACTCACTCTTTGATGTTATTTTGAAACTATCTTGCACCGTTCATTCTATGGATTAATTCTTCTCCAATCATATTCTCCATGTTTAATCATTTATAAACTACCACTAATATTACTACTTTGGTATTCATCTTACTGTATAGATGTGGTCTGACGACTTGAACTAATGTATAAATACCGCAGGTTCTACATTGCTCCTGATTAATTGACTGGTAATCAATCGGCAAAAAGTTTTCCTTTAATAATAAGAATTAAACTTAAGCTACAGATTATTTGAAAGATAATGGAATATAGTCTAGTGGACGGTCAAAAAATAAAGTCAAAACAAACTTTCTTAATCTATGAGGCTCCCATATGGAAATAGAGTAACACAGTGATATGATTTTACAATAAGTTATATGCGTAACGCCATAATTAAATCGCAGAAAAATTCTACGTCGACGAATTATATTAATTTGAGGGATAATACTTTTGGTAATGAATTTCACTGTGTACAGCTTATTCAGACACTGTAATGAGCATCCTGATGTAAAAAAAACAGTATATAGCATTACGAATGCAGTAATGAGGATTTTGACAATTAAATGAATATATCTCGCAGAATACAGGACATTGCAACCTAAATTTCATTTCATGATTTGACAAAAAATTATGGATGTGCAACCTACGTAAAAAATACCAAATAGATACACACCTGTACTGCCGCTAGTATAACAGATGAGGCATAGATCTTTCTCAGCTGGAGGCTATAAAGCAAAGCAAAATTAAACATTATTACTATAGATGAACTACTTTCGAGTTCATAGAGAGAACAATTTGAAAACACGAAACATTTAAAATCAGTTTCAAATGCTTTATTAAATATAGTCATATGGGAGGTCAGAAATGTTAAAACCTGTATTACCTTTGATTTCTTTATAGTGATTAGGGACCTCCAATCACCACCCAATAATTTAATATGATGAGCACGATATAAAGTCACTCAGACTAACGACTACACTGGAACTTTATCGACGGAATTCGATAAACACCAAAAGACCAGACAAACAGCTGGTAACTACTCAATGATCGATTAAAGTATTACGATAAATTATTTTTAAAGTTAGCAGGAATCAAAGTACCTCCGTGAAAACGCGATTGGTCGACATAGGAAATAAGCTGTTTCATCGATGTGTGGAGTAAACTTAAGTTTGTTACAAAGAATGCAAAACTGTGAATTTAGTTTGATATTCCTTATGTTTAATCTCACTAAACCCACCTACTATGTCAAGTTCTACCAGTCATGTATGGTGATGTGATTCAACAAAGTATGCAAAATAAGAACTTAGTCTAAATATAAGAGACGTAGTCTCGTATCTTGTTTAATATGCACTGACTTGATTCATTTGAACGATGATAATGAAAACCAAAAGAATTAATTAATCTACAAGTATATCATTGAAAGCATGATGACACAAAATCAGCTTATCTTAATTGATCTGTAGAGATAATGTCCTTTCGTTCGCTGATTTATATGACTAAAATGATCAGAATCTGGTAATATATGGGTGTTATAGAAAAAGATATGATGATACGTGTTTTTATTAAGTGTGTAAACATTCTACGAAACAACTTCAAATTATGGATGGGGAAAAACTTCACGTTTTCAAGTCATATAAGTGCATCATAGTCAGTAACTACGGTTATGTTTTCGCTGACTTAGTCACTCAATTGTAGACATATTAGAATAATTTCTATTATCAAATTAATTGAAGGTATGGCTTTTGCTATGTTGTAACTTTCCTTCCATCATGACTAACTGACCTACATTTAACATGTCTGTAGCATGATGGAGTGACATTTTTATCGTAGAAAACTTTACATTTTCCATGTAAGCGAGCAAAAACGACGGGTAACGAAACACGTCGTGCATCATGGATTAAGATAGGGTGGATAGTATTTCCCGCTTCATTTTGGCTGGTGGCTAGGTACAAGGTCAAAATTACGAACAAAAGTGGAGTTTATCTTCACCTCACATTATGCACAAAGAAACACTTTTGTCTAATGGTCCATCTTTATCCTAGCAAATAGTTTTGATTAAAGCAGACACATTATCCTGAGACTTTAAGCTAATTTTAAAAATTGATTGAATACCATACCATAAATACAATGCATAAAATTTGTAAATGGAACATAGATTTTCAACTAGAAAACATAACGACAACGACTCACAATTTTTGGTTTAAGATCACTTCTTCCAAGATCCTAAAAAAACCATATATATATATATATATATATATATATATATATATATATATATATATATATATATATATATATATATAGAAAGAGAGAGAGAGAACTTACCAAACTGCTTTCTGTTCTCAGCTATATTTAGTACTCGTTAGTGATAAATGCTAATGTGAATGGAGTGAGGAAATAGAATATCCCAAGTGGTTAAACAACTAAATAGTATGAATATGCCGCCATCAAAGCTTTAACTGAGCTCTCCACAATCCGTCTGAAGGAACGTGATAAGTTCCTGAATCTGGAGAATATTTGACAGACATTAAATTGATAAATCCAATCTTTTGAATTAACTAACCCTGTGTCATATGTGAACTGATATTCACGGCCTGACATATTATGACACTAGTTTATAGATGTTAAGATACTAGAGTACTTAATTTCCACTGACCAGATGATCCAGGTTTCTATACATGCTTTTGACAAAACAACTTAGATTGGACTTAAGAAGTGAATATTGGAAACAAAATATCAATTTTACTTTATTTGCATGTATATGCTGGCAACAATTTTAGGCATAAAATATAGAATCTATACCTTGGAACATGATATATATATTAGTTTAAACCCTATCCACCTGTCGAAAGGCTCATCAATTTATAATCAAATAATCATATCTTATGAGTTATAGATCTAGGTGATAAGTTGTAAAATATACCCGCTTACGTAATAGTGTTCTCGGTTAGTGAAATAATGCCCAGTTTTCTCTTCTACACCAGTATGACAACGATTTGTCTTGGACGTATATATCTACACTAGGTACCATGCTAGTGTCTACTCTATACAACATCAAAAAAGCTCAGACCAAGAACACGTGACTGGCCTAACCAGAAAGTCAGTATATTCCAACTTCAACAATCGACGATAACAATAATAGCAAGGGGTAAGAAAATATAGAACATACCTAATACTTGTCAAAATATCTACTAGTCTGACTAGGTAAACAATCAAAAATTATTTTTCTCAGAAAGGGGTTTTTGTGGATAATATAGTAATTGAATAGTTGAGTTCATGATTCACTTAAAGCTAGACCACGATGAAAAACCTGGAAGCACTGGACGGTTGTTTCGTCCAAGTATGAAACTCCTCGGCGGTGCGTACCCACGATCCCGCTCACATGATTCAAACCCAGGACCATCGATCTCGCCCGAAAGGGAGTGACTGACTTCAAGAGGTATTTCCTGGAGTTCTAGTGAGAAGCCGTGACCAGTAGAGTTCAACCGGGTCTGTTGTGAGATAGTAACTCACTGAAAACAATGGTGAATAGTGACGCAATTTCGTGGATTGGTTGAAATTAAACACTAACACCCTTGGATGCCCGCTCAGTGGTCTAGAGGTTGGGCGCTCGCGCGCGAGACCGAAGGTTCTGGGTTTGGATCCCGCGAGCGAGGTCGTGGGCGTGCACCGCTGAGGAGTCCCATAATAGGACGAAACGGCCGATCAGGACATCCAGGTTTTTCATGGTGGTCTAGCTTGAATTGACTCACGAACTCAACCATTATTCTTCTTACCCACACATCAGTTAGATTATATGAAAGAGTCTTTATTTGGTGAAAAAAAGTTCATGAATTTAAATATTCAGATTTCACAATTCTGAATTTGCTAATAAAATCCCTTATTAAGCTGAGTATCCCTAAGCTCCACATTACAATTTATAAATAGTAAAGTTTGATTTTCAACATAAGATCTGATAAACGAGTAAAATTATTATTCAGATCAACTGCTTGAGAACTCAACTGTGATTCCATCAGCTTAGTAAATGTATACTGAGTAGCATCCTGTTCTCCATCCAAAATTTAAACGCATAATAAATATGTAGTCACCACATGCCTGTACACAGTTTCATTTTATGATGGTTTTTCGGTGTTATATGTTTCATATTCACTTTCGTTTCAGGTCGATTTATCGTTTTTGAATTCAAGTGATATGAATAGTCCTACTTTCAACACCGTTGCTGTGACATTCTAAAATCATTTGATAAATCACATGTGACAAGAAAACATTATTTCTTAGTATTTTAATCACGTTTTTTTTAAACCCTAAAAGCCGACACCCATAATCTATTCAAGCTGAAAAGCACAGATGATTGAATTGCTAACATATTTAAAAAATATGAATGCTGGTTGCCAAAATCGCATGAAACGCAAATATTTCTAAACAATATAAATAATATATCCTACACTGATCAGTAAACTTTAAAATTTTTTATATTTAATCAACTTTTAGTAAAATAAAGCCCAAATATTTCATGTTCTTAAACAATCAACGAGAAATTTCATCGTTTCAGTTGCCAGACACCATGGATGTTGAGCTGGCAGAAAGAAAAATCGATGAGTAGAAAATTAACATAAAAACAACAAAACCTGATAATTCATCAGAAAGATTTGATACGATTATAGTTTCGTCTCAAATACATAAACGTATATTTCAGTTTTGCAGGACAGATCGTTGTCTCTATTGAAGGCAGCAGAAGCATAATACTTTTTTGTTTAATTCGAATAAACACAGATTTGAATAATAATTCTAAAAGATTTATTATTTCACTGAGATAATTAAGCTCATGGGTGAAAAGCGATGGAAAATTAGACTCCATTTGATAATATGTGAAACTAAATTTATAGCGTTTTTCCCGTCGTTTTAACCAATTTACCTGATACTGTTTAACTGACAACTACAGATAGAATATCAGAAGTATAACTGGTAAAGTAGTCAAACATTTTCTTCTTAAAACCTATTGTTTCCTAAACAAATCATTATCACGGAAATGTCTTTTTTTATCTAGGTATATTCTCAAAATCCAAGGCGATAACTAACTCATATCCTTTGGTTGAGTGGTTTAGGATAAGTTAAGTTCAAAGATGTTTTCCTTCACATGCTGATATCAGTTGAAAAATCGCTTAAAATGAAGAAAGGATTGAACACCTGTTCCATTTTAGTCTAAGAACCTTCAGCAATTCACATTAGCAACCCTGATAAGGGGTAGAATACACCATATAAAAATCACCAGTAGTTCACGTTTTCAACTCATTTTTAACATAGCGTAGTAATCATCCAATGCTATCGACCGATAATTGTCTGATTCCCAATTAGATTACACTAGTGAAATGACCGAAGTCGGAAAAATACAACAATGTATATTTATTCAGTAGTTTTTCAAGCAATGTGGTCACCGCGAGATAATTGTTTTAGGCTTTATTGATGATGTACGTGCGAATTGTTAGGGAGTTTTAAACTAGAATGAAATGGCCATTTCTATTATCTCTATCCAGATTATTTAAGGCAATGACAAGTACCATCCTTAAAGTATATTCACCCATGCCTTCAACTTAACCTAATTTAATTCACATATCTCAACGTCCAGTGAAGACATTTGTAAAACACTCAACACATAAACTACTTTGATACGTGATCAAAGGAACTAGTATGAGAATGAGTAATGGTGAGTAAACTTGTTCGTTAAGACCTTTCACTATACTGTAAACATGAAATTATAAGCCATACCAAATGTAATATCTCAAAGGTTACTTGTTTCAAAGTTTTCATCTTTCTTTTCACTCAGTTGCAAACAGTTTAAAGTGTTAAGCAGTGAAGTCACCAAAAGATTTAAGAAAGACTGGAATAAATAATATCTAAAATACTGAGTGTCCCAGGTAAAAGATCGAAGAAAGAAGTTAAAATCACTAAATGTATTCAAGCGAGAATAACAGATGTTAGTCACATAAAAACTAGCTTAGCACGGTACGACTGTAGATAGCATAATCTGGGGAATATACATAAAGCCTACTCATAATGAATAGCATATAAATGCAACCCACTTAAGAAGCAATATGTTTGAGTTTTACTTGAAAATATGTGTTTTTTGAGAACCAGCAATAGTTGAAAAATATTATTATACGTTATGTTTCTTTTTCTTGAGAAAAAATCAATATTTAAAACTTTTTTCCATATACGATCAACTATTCAGTCTCCTAAAATAGGCACACTTACTGAAATAAAATTTCCTCCGTTTTAATCAACGATAGCTATATACGGTAACTGTGGTGGAAAGAGAACTTGATACATATTTGATTACTGATCCTTCCAAACAAATGCATGTATTTCATAGAATTACAGGATCATAACCTTTCAAAATCAGCACGCGGTTTCGGGTCAAGTGATTAATCAGTTAATGGGATTCTAAACTTCAAGTACCTGAGAGAAGTGAACACTAGGCTTTTAGACATGCGAATTAGGTTCATGTTGGAAAATTCAAACATAGTCTGTTGAAAATAATGCATCATTTCATAAAGCAAACAAACAACTATCAATTTAACCAACATGGTGAGTATAGTGTTGCTTGTTCGAATGCAAGTGAATGTTAGGAATCAGTCGTTGAAGATCTCATGCGCTAAAGATTAAAATAAATTACAGTGCTATATTTACAACCACTGCCTACCACGACGGTCGATGTCATCTGGAGTAGTAGGCTGGAAAAAAGCTAGAGGTGACCAAACCAAAATGTGGCACCAGTCCATGAAGGTACTGACAAATGGACTGAGTCATGTCAATAGGTCTAAACTACCTGGTTGAGGTCTGCGTGACTGTCGTAACCAGTGGTTACAGACTGAATTACATGGCTCAAAATCGTTTTCAATGGCATAGATTCATGCACTCTTTATCTTCTCCGAGACTGTGAGCTTCTGAATTCCTCATGATTTTTCTTATTATACTAATTTGAGTGTATCTTTGATACCTAATCTTTTCTATTAACACTTATACTGTTACTACCTTTACTACTCTGGAATTTGGCCCGACAATTTCATTTCTCTGTGTTAATGGAGTATGGAAGATTGGACCGATGTACATGCATACCAGGTTCAGCGTTGCGTTTGACTGATTAACACACCTAATTGCACTTATCGAATAATCTTCGATATTACAATGTTAAGAATTTTGAATAAAACTCACCGAGAATTCATCAAATGAATAAATGTTCACCGAAGAACTATACTGGGCTTTTAGATCTTCAAAACTTTGATCCTGGACAGCAATGATAATGACTTTTAATGATGAATTAAAGTTCTCTAGGATCTTGATAGCTAAATCTGCTGAATGGCACATTAATATGACGAGCCCAGCTAGAATTGTTGAGAAAATAAGAAAAATCTTTATTTATTATGTAAAGAATAGCTAATCTAAACATCTGTTACTGAAAGAATTATCAACTCTGGAGCTAGCAGTACTAGCTAGGAAGTTATTTCGCAAAAACTAAGTGTTATTGAATGTTTGTGCAGTCAGCATCGATAAACAATAATGGCAGTATTTTTATTGGTGAATCATCAACTTTTGTAGAGTTGTGGTTCAAAAGCTCTAAATATTTAACTTTCGATTGCTTGATGACAGGTTCAAGCCTACTGTTGTTTACTTTATGTTGAGTAATAGGGTTTTATTACGACTTGGAGTATTTTCCAAAATTAAGATTACAAATTAAGTGCAGTTTTTCTATTCAGGCTGTGTTGTATTGTATGCATATATCCCATATTTCATCTTTCACAACTTCATATTGGTACAACAGCTTTAAACAAATGTCGCTAAATTTACCTTTGATTAAATCATACAATAGTTGTTTTAAACATATTAAAAAAACTTTACACAATTTTTATTTAGGTAATATAAAATAATGTAAGTTCTAGATCATATTAAACAACAGTAAGCTAAAATAAGATTTCTTGAGGTACAACACAAGTATATTAAAAAAATTACTTTGTTTAAGAATATGTTGCATAGCTGGATCACCCAAAGTAGCATACAGAGGGACAACAGTGTACGAGTAACAAAAACAGGCATATTGTGTAATAAACCACTAAAATGAAATAGAGACAATAAGTCATGGTGGGAATTAAATGTTTATGATTAATATTAACGAAGGTTCTTTATACATGCATCAGTATAGCAGAGACTAACTTTATGAATTGAAACATATATTCGTATAAAAAAGTATTTATGTAGAAAAGAAAATGATTTTGTTGACCGACAAACTCCAGTTGCTTCTGAATAATCTTATCAAAATGTGCAAACACGACAATATCCCAGACTAGCATCTATGAACTATAGTAACTAGTGTCTCAGGTTTGTTCTCACCCCTAATTTAATTTTAACTTCTACTGGAACATAGAGAAAATCTACAATCTAATATAATAGAACGGAATTATTCAACTCAACTTTGGTTATCATCTTCTTATAACATCGCAAACACTAGATCCGGTATATTTCCACTTTATAAACATTTGTGCACCTTCAACAAATACGGGAGCCAGAATGCATTTAAACAAATAAATTTCCCTAGCCTAAATTTTTTTGTGAAATATCTTGGTGGAGTTTTGTTCTCTGAGCTGGACGGTTTGGTCGTGGAGCTTTCATCGTCCTTCTGAACGACATCATCAGCACAAACTTCAAATAGAATATTTGGTCCAAAATAGGACGACACACGAGGGCCTGGATTCCACTGCTAGCCACCATCCTTGCTAATAATTAGATGTATGGTGTTTATCTACATCTGATTGTGTCCACATCTACGAGCTAAGATATTTACTCTAATAAATTAACTCACAATCACAATAATAGCAACGAATACTGAGATTGAAAAATATTTTGAGTACATACAAGTCACAGAGCTTCAATAAACTTGAAAGGTTTTCATCAATGACTGTCTTAAGTAGGAAAAAATACTGAGAAACAGTAAGCTTATCTCAACGTGGAACTAGTCAGCGCACATTCATGGTTTCACGTGATATCGAATATAGGACCTTTAGTTCACATAGAGCTTCATTTGTTTTAACTACCGAATAGTCCGCATTTTTTATCTTTATTACTTTGCAATAAAGCTCGAGCGTCATCCAATGTCACCAGTATATATCCAACTCCATGCAAATTTGGTCAATTTTATAGACAACCAATAGGAAATTAAAAAGTACTCTATAGAAATTTACTTAACTACGATGTATAAAAAATTAGATAACCGTTATTTCAAAACGGGGACTTCTCTGTGATTATGCTAACCATTTTAGAATATGACAAATTCAAACTTAAATATCATGACTACATTAAACAAATGAAGGTAACACACTCTGATGTATCAAGAACTCGAAGTTTATTACCTAAATGATAAAGGCTCCTGAAACACAGAGGCTAAGTATAATTGATCACAAACCCCACATAAAATGAAGTGTCATAACTATTCCCATCACATTGCTGTATCTTTTGGCACCTCAGGCAATGCAGAAAATCACAGTATATATAAGTGCATACGGATAATGGTTTGGAATTTTATTATGATAACGCAAAAACTTCAGACAAAATACCTAAAGTATCTAATACTATTCTCCAAACCAATTTACGAAGCTTATGGTGCAAGGATGCATATAAGTTAAGCAATTTGGATATTTCTTTCTCGCAAACTAAAATATATGTAGCTAAGATGGGCGACAAAGGAAAATTAGGACTAATATATTGCATTTTGGGAATCATATGGTTTATTAAAACTATAAAGAAACGTCTCAACCCAAAGAATAAATATATATGAAGCCAGTGCAAGAACAACTATTCTTTAAGAATGCGTAAAGTGTACCTTGGATTCCAGGTTCGGGCTTGCCTTGTGACACACTTTGACCATTTCCCCAATGTATGTCACATCCACCTCCAACGTCTTTTCCTAATTTCCTCTTCACCTCGAAGCTGGTTTGTTCTCTCCAACAGTAGGCTGTTGCTGATGGTATCCGGTCAACGGACAATTGTTTTGAGTTCCACATGTTCTTCAACTGTAGGAATGCTGCCCTTGATTTTCTAATCCTCGCCCTTAAGTTGGCATCCGACTCTCCTTGTTCGTCGATGATGCTTCTCAGTTGAGTGGAAGATCCCACCTCTCCCAGAACTTCTCCATCAAATGTGATTGGTTTGTTGTACTTCGTGTCGTATTTCAGGATCTTGCTTTTTCCCTTGTGTATGTTGAGGCCTACTGATGCAGAGACTGCTGCTACACTAGTTGTCTTTATCTATATTTGTTCGTGTATATGGGATAGAAGAGATGAGTCACCTGAGAAGTTCAAATCGTCCAGTTGCATCCAAGCTGTCCATTTCATTCTGCGCATCCCCTCAGATGTCGAGTTCTTCATAATTTAGCCAACCACCGAAAAGAAAGAAAGGTGAAGAGTGAGCAGCCTTGTCTGACTCCGATCCTCACTTCGAATGAGTCTGTCAACCGTTCTCCATGCACCACTTTGCACTGTAGTCCGTAGTATGAATTCCGGATTATGTTGCCGATCTTTTCGAGTACACCAGTGTCGAAGAAGGCTCCATAATGTTCACCTATCCACGCTATTAAATGCTTTCTCACAGTCAAGGAACTTGGTGTATAGTGACGAGTTCCATTCATTTAATTGTTAAACGATGATCCGTAGTGTCTCCATTTTGTCTGTGTACGACCGATCCTTACGGAACCCATCCCGTTGATCTGGAAGTTGGACATCCACTGGATCTTTTATTCGATTCAACAACACTGTTAAAAACCTCCTCTGGTACTGATAGTAGTGTGATGCCTATGTAGTTAGTTCTCACGTTTGCTCAGATCTCCTTTCTTTAGTTTCTCGATGAGGTATCCTTCTTTCCAGTCTGCCGGTATGTGTTCTCCCAAATATTTGTGAATAGAAGATGGAGTACGTTTGCAGTTGCTTCTATGTCTGAATTCAGTACTTCAGCTGGTATGTTGTCTGGTCCGGCTGATTTCTCACTTTCGACTTGTCTGATGATCGTCTTGATTTCATCGATCATCGGTTGAGTGGCATTTATATGAAAATCTGTAGGTACTGCTTTGATTTCTGGTGGATTCAGTTTGGCTGATTTATTCAAGAGTTCTTCAAAGTGCTATACCCATCTGCTCCTTTGTTCTTGAATCTCAATGGTCGGAATCCCTTTGTCCTTGACTAGTCTCTCTGGTTTACTATATTTCCTTGCTAGTTTCTTCGTTGCACCACATAGCTGTCTCGTATTTTCCTCTCTCGCAGCTTTTCCCACTGTCGCTGCTATCGTCCCATGATATTTTCATATCCGGTGTTGTCTATTCCGATTTTGGCTTTCAAGTTTATCATCAGGATTGTCAGATCCTTTTCTGAGCACTTCTCTACGATCGACTGCATCATCTCATAAATCTGATCTTTATCGTGGGTGCATAGCATTAGGTAACACTCCTAATAATCACCTCCTTTGTTCTGGAGAATGTGCTGACGATTCTGGATCCATGAGATTCCCATTCAACAAGTGTTTTTCGTGATTCTTTGGACAGCATTAGAGCAACTCCTTGTGTGTGCGAAGCATTTTTTTGCTTCATGACCAGAGTACAACAGCACCTCTACTGAGGCTAATCTTTTCTGTTTAGCTTGTGTCCAATGGGTTTCACTTATTTCGAGCACCGCTAAGTTGTGTCTCCTCATTTCCACAGCTGTTTGACTGGTCCTCCCGGTCTACCATATTGTCCGAACATTCCATTTATCTGTTAATCGTTGCTCTGGCTGTTAGAAAGGACATCAACTTGTTGACTTCCGAAGAATATCGGCTTTCACCATGAGGCGTCATAATCCTTCTAAACGAAGATCCTTAAACTCCCAGGGTAGAGTTTAAATGGTTTGATCTTTTTTATTCTGGTTAGCGTTTTTTTAGCAAGGTTGTTTTCCACGGGTTGGGGTGCTGACCCCATATCAAGCCCTCCTCCTTTACCCTGGTTTGAGACCGGCAGTAGCTCTAGAGTAGCTACAAACATAATCTAGAATATATATACGAGCTACTGCAAAATCTGTTAGAAAGTTACGTTATTATTAGGCGAGAGAATGAACTACTGACCAAAGTTTTCGTTCATCTAGGGTAGTAAATACGTAATCTGATGGAGAATAACTGAAAGAGAATAAAGTCTTTAGGAATTAATTAAGTGGCTGTAAATAGATGTCTAGCATATTCTTCAATCGTGATTTTCACCAAAGAGTACTTGGTACATGGACATAACTTATGAAAGGTAAATTATTAAGATCTGAGACCCTATATCATGATATTAATGGTGAACCATATGCTGTTGGGTTATTAAAGTTACTGACAGATACTAATTAGCTTGGAGTTGTTACGGCGATTCTTACTCACCGAAACCCATTAAGTCTACTTTCTGTGTAACTGTTATAACGCTCGGTCTTCCACTTCTGCACGAATGGGGCGTTAATTTGTTTTAGACAAATATTTACAATAGATACCCTCCTAGTGTCTATTCTAGAGGACTTCAACACAACTCAGCTCAAGAACACGTGATTAGCCTGACCACAACGTAAATATATTCCCACACCAAAAACCGACAACAATCCGACACAATAATAATAATCAATAATAATAATGACAGGAGTATATATAACTCATCTAACGCCTGTCAGACTATTCACAAGTCTGACCAAGTAAACAACCAATCATTATCATTCTCGCCCACACATCAATAACCCAGATTTAAAACAACAGTACAAAACCGATTCGAAACGAAAATTGCTTAAATTACGATAATTTGCACACCTGTGGTGAATTTCGACCGTAAACACCTACAAACCTTTCTGACTCTGGATACTTATTCATAATTCCAACAAGCGCTGATCCAAAAGCCTGAATTTTCTCATCAACCTTGAAAAGGTATAAAGTATTAGTTGGTATTTCAAGAAACTTCTTGATAAGTAATCCATGAATATGGCTCATTAGTAGTATATCTGCTACCTAAAAACTTTCTTGAACCTGAAGACGAAAAGAAAAGTGTAACAGACATCATTACTAGTTTACAAGCAAAAGTAGTTTATCTAAAAAATTCTTGAACATACATGGATATCAGCATTTTAAAATTCCCATAGAATATTCAAAAATAAAGAATATTTGAGCAAGATTATAACTTTTCTGCAGAGCTGGAAACATCGAGACCAACTTCGAGAGAGTAACCTATGTATCAAAAAGAGATTCAGCCTCTGTGTTTACCCTGGTCCACAAGGGGGTCACTATATGCACGAACTAGATATCATAAACCCCTTATCCAATCTCCACTAATTCCTTTTGTGTTTATACCTACCCTGCCTTCTTCTTAGTCTACACATTCATCTAACCCAATTCACTATTATCTTAATTACCTTGACAGAATCCCTCTTAATACATATTATATTCACACGACATTTTTATAATTATCTCCATTAAGAAGACGAAGTTCTCCAATAATCCATTTTATTCACACCATTTATTTTATTATATCAATTGTAACATGACACTTTATGACGAATCATTCTAACCTTTGATAAATGATCTTTCTAACTTAAAAATGACACAATTTTGAAGTATTTTACCGTAACAGATGCAAGAGTTCGGGATTTTTAGCAAATAATGCTGTTTAATTCGCTACCATACCTTATTTTGGAAATTTATAAAATAATAGATGAAGTTATTGAAAACAATTGTTCAATAATATATTCTTTGTGTTTTGAATATATGGATGTATACGGAAAGTGGTAAAATAAGACTACGGGGTGGGGGAAAGCAAAATTATACAAATCGATGTAATTCGAGCAACACAAATATAAGCGAACAACATTGTTTTCAATTAGATCGTCATCCGCGTTTAATATACATGAATATGTATATGAAAATATTAAACCAATCAATACAAAATTATAAACCAACGACTACAATGACATAGATTACATAATAGTTGAAGTCGATTTAATTGATCAACTTTTCTTCACCATTGGATTTGCTAGGACTCTTGTATGAACAAACGATTATCAAAATCTCCTGACCTTCCACTACGCGTTTTTTTATCAGCCTACCTACGTAATTCAACAGTAGTATATTATTATTTAGTATAACAGCTGATAAATCATTCAAGTTAAATCCTCCCAACTACTCTTATTAGAAAATGTGTCATGTCTATAAAGCAAATGTTAGAATTCCATTTAACAAACTCACTATTTTTAATCCCATTTTATGTTATAACATAACGGTAAACACTTTTAGAAATTTAAGGAGAGTAGTTTATGTTATATCCTAGCGAAGATGAAATGATGGGTAACTTCTGAGAGCTATTAATGGACTAATATTATACATATATTCTTATCATATATCGTTTTCACACTTACATCACTAGTAGTCCTTTGTAACGAACAATGGCTGAATGGAAAACGAGCTCAACTTTAAACTGAAAAGTCTCAACTTCAAATGGCACTCTATCTACTTTGATGTGGGCAAAATAGTAGCATCACTAATCCTTACGACAGCTTGACAGTGAGTACACACTTTTGCTTAGCAAATGAGTTACACAATTGATTAAATGAATTTCCCGGATTATTCGTTGTTCAGTTAGCTAATACTTTCACAGAGGGTTGAGAAATGAGTACTATCCAGTGATTGTTGACACTGAAACACGTACCAATATTTTCGGACTAACTGATTATACATAAATTAACTGATACATATCAGTCGTAGTCAAGAGAAGTTGAAATGTAACTTATTTGGTATCGATTCCAGAAAGAAACAACTTACGGGATAAAGATAGCCCTCTATGGAATACGTCCATCATTGTTTTGACTTCCGAATATTCATTATTGGTCAAAACCATGCTACTCTGGCGTGCGCCAGTCTACAGGCAGAGAAAACGAAATCTAACTTTAGTAGACCAAAATCAAAAGAAGCAGAAACATAAAAATTAAACAGAACTAAACACATGTTACCAAAAGCACTACAATTTATGCACCAACAAATTGTTTACCCTAATTGTGTTATCAAAAAACTGATCGGTATTAAACCACGGAAAAACATTGATTAGTTCGTTAAAAAGTTCAACATATTTATCTGAAAAATGTTGTGCCTTTCTTGTTCCATTTTTAATGCTCTTTAGTAACGGTTAGAAATTAACTGAACTTCAAGAGTCGAAAATATCTAATCACATTACTTTGCCCACAATTTACTGGAATTCAAAATGGAGTTCTAAAAATGAATTAAAGCATAAAAACAACACAACTCTTACTTATAATTAAGTCAAATTTCTAAACTTTAACTAATACTTTCATTAACGTTATTAAAATATCTGTTTGAATGTCAGAGATACTTATGGAATTTTGGGAAATTATACTATTGATTTTGTGCATACATCTAATTAATGCCCGAAAACATTTTACATAAGACTATGCTCATGGAATTCTTCCTACATTAATTTATTCATTGTTCAGTAATCGAATCTTAAATGTCCATATTATGAAACTGATAAATTATTTAGAAACGATACAAGCTGTTCGGATAAATGTCCATTCAAGTCTCCTTAGTATTTAAGCAGTGTAAAGACGTAGGAAATTTTTTCGACGTATTAGTACTTTTTAGTACATATATACTGCCAATATTTTCTGCCCTTAGAGGAAGTACATCATACTATTATTGAATTGGCACTTCACAAAACATCACACATTTTGAACAGTGAGATGATTATCGATTTCGTGTTATTAGTATACTGATTGTAAGTTAGTATGTTTTGAACGACATTAAGATAACTAGCTATCATGATGTATTATAAAACGTTTATGACGGGGCGATAATAAATACAAGCAAATTCGAGGAAATTTGTTTTACGATGCTGCTCAACAACATAAGAAAAAATTATTTCTCATAACTTTAAAGAGTTCCACATAATTACTGCTCTTAGTAAAAATAGTATAAAAGCATTTAATTGCGACTAATGACTACATACATTTTTATGCACAGCAAACACTAATTTACCTTCGGATCAGCAATGACAGACTGTTGATTTAAATAGCTACTGAAAAAAGAACCGTTCGGATTTGGTTCATGTATTTTCATATATACATCAGGGTAATTTGGCTTTTCATCTAAAAACAAAATAGAATACACCATACTTTAATTTTAATGAAGTTAGAAAGCAACAAAAAAGCTTGTGAAACAAGGTTTATGTAATAGGACAAGCGACATAATATATAGCAGAGAATATTTCGGAAAGCTCTAAATAATTAGTTGAATAGAGAAACGAACATATTTTTTAAAGGGTGACGAAGGAAAGAAAAGGGTTTGCTGAGCGATGTTTTTTCTGAAGATCTTGTCTAATACTGTAAGAGAAATTAGTAAGGAAGAAACAGGAGACAGAACAACAATGAAAATGTGAAAAACTGAACATAGGTAAAATTATAAATAAATTGAACGGGTTTATTACAGTACTGAGATAATAAAATAATATTGATGATAAAATAATATGATCGTGATAAAAAAACTTCAGTAATATTTTAATGAGTAGAGAACTGAACTTCTGGTATTTTGCGACCATTTTACTCTATAAAGAAGTAGCCTATATTTAGAAGTGAAAAGTAAGAAATCCTATTTATTAAGCTGTTACAAATGCATTATGTCATTATTATAAAGAAATAAGTTTTATGAAAGCGAATGAAATTGTGAGACAATTTTACTTAATAACAAATGGCAAAGATATGTTTTGTGTCTAACATTGATTTGATTCACAGAGTTCTCAAATCAAACTATATACTTTTCATGTTTGAAGTTGGTACTTAATAAGAGCAAATGATTGTATGATTGAAGATGATAACAGTCACTGGATAACTAGGCCTGGACGCTAAATATTCGACCTGTGTTTTAGCTTGACAAAGCCTGTTTACGCGCGTTTAAGAATCACTTCCTGTCATTATTTCTGAATCTTAGTATCCAACTATTAGTTTGTCGTTATCTACATGATAATATTATATATATATATATATATATATATATATATATATATATATATATATATATATATATATAATATATAATATAATTTACCTGCTCTTGTGGAGCTAGGTATATAGGTCGTTCGATGCGTACTTTATCCAAAAGAATTCAAGAACATTGTCCGGCGTGGCTAAGAAGAGGAGGCAGCGGCTCAATAAGAAGTTCTATAATCGAACACCTTGTGAACACAGGTCACTCAATCAAGACAGACTCTGCGTTCAAGGTCATCTACAAGGTAAGTAGAAGCCTTCCTAAGACAATTAGACTGCATCTTCTTTGCATTGCCGAGGCAATAGCCATACATTTTGAAAAACCAGAATTGTGTGTACAAAAGAGACTGATACAACCTCTTCTTTTACCATGGTCTTAATGTATTAAAATTTTTCTCTTTCTCATTACTCTTGTTCTTTTACAGCCACCTGCTTCACCTTCCATCTTCCCTTCAAATCTTATACCCCCAACCGGTTTGTTTTTATTTCCACGATCATTCCGATTATATTTCATCTCTGTTTCAACATTTTATGTTATTTTATCATGCTGAGCTACCCTTACCCGATGAATATCTAAGCCATTAACGATCAAACTTTCCTTGTTTTAAAACATTTTTCTAATACCTTTGTTTATTTAACCTCACTGTCACCATGTATAACATAAGTTTATTATCAGTATTATTATCACCCTGTAAAAATAAGTATATATATTTGCGATTGTACAGCTTTGAAAATGAATTCGCCGAAAAGAGAACTCTTCGCTGAACTAATCTTTCTTTCTTATTTAATGTCATAATGGGTGTATTCCGTTTATTAAAAAATATAATTTTCACTGAGGATTTTGAAAAATAAACTCAATTAATAGTAGTGGTTACATTATCATAACTGTACAGCCCAAAAGACAACAGCTTGAAGTCGGTTATAAAAGATGGTATATAAGTACTTATTTGCTCAAGTTAAGCTCCATACGTCCCTAATCATATCAAACACAGGAAAAGGGTACTTTTAAACTTTCTTGTGATCTACGGACAGACGTCATCCTTAAACCTCAAATTTATCTGTTCTAGTCCTACTATTAGCTAACCGACCTATCTGCCAAAACAGACCTCCGAGGCATGAGTGCTTTGCTGAAGTCGTTTCCATTGAATAATGATAATCAAGCTTGACCACTGTATCAAGGTAAAAGTTACAGTCACGTACCGTATTTTCAGAAGTGAGGTGGCAAAAATTAAAACAAACGAGTGATAATGGATCTTTTTAATCAGTTATTACCTACTTTAATAAAGCAACAGAAACTATTCAACATATCGTACTAATTTTCCCTGATTTGTCACCAGTAATTTTAACAAATCCATTGGCCTTTACCTTAAATTTAGCTATCTGTTGACGACTGACAGCGAAGTTAGTATAACCTTAAATATATTTGACGTGGAAATAAGCCACGAGTATTTGGGATTTTAAAGCCCAAAATTTTCGGAGAACTTTTATCCCTCAAACTAAATCGAATATTTCTTGAACGTCTGTCTTCTCAACTTTGACGAGACAAGAATAAAAAATAAGTTATTTTAATACAATACTTTGTTTTTCCATTATATAAACACGACCTATCTAAATTCCACAGTAGACACATGAACAGACCCTCACACACCTTAATAGGGGAACGATCACAATAGGATTCTAAAACTGTCAGAACTGAGTTTGTTATCTGCTGACAAGGATTCGAGTTTGACGAAAACCGTAAGTTGTATCGGCATCTTAATCAGATAAAAATATGTAGCACCTGGAAAATGATTTACGTTAGACATACAATCGTGGCTGACGGTCAGTGTATAAAAGCCCATGTTTTAAAAAGGATAGTGATCATCAAATTGTGAACTAACTTTGCCTTTTTAGTAGCACTGGAGATCCTGGTAATGGATAAAGAGAATTGTGTTAGTGAACTTGCATAAAGCGCAATAAAACAGACGACTCCAAAACGGAACTTAAATAAATCACATAAACGATGAACCGCCTAACAATAGCGGACCATTCGAATATAAATGTCATCAACTCGAAGTCATTATACCAACGTTCCAGTTGAAGGGGGTGGAAATTATTGAAGGGGCAAAGGAAGGAAGAATGGCATCCACAAACACCTCATCACTCCAAGTTGATAAGAACGCCCTAGGAAATTGCCGTTCTGAGTAACAGGATATTGAGTAACAGAATTCTTTGATAGAACCCAGTCGTAACACTATAAACCAATTTAGAGCGGAGTAAATACTCAAACTGCCTCCAAGGCTACTACTGTAAGCATTTCGGAGAAATAAGATAACCCTGATCCAAAGATCAGACATTCCTATTATTAGCATACTGCCAAATATCTCATATAGTTTATATCAAAAAGCAAACATAAATAAGTAAGAAGAAAGATGAGAATATTGGTCCATGACCATGTAGATTTCTTAAGTTAATTTTAGGATCGAAGGAAAAATGTTTTTCTCTTTATTATTTGGAACCCATGGATACCGATGCAACTGGACACCAACGGCGTAAAGATGGACCAGATTGATACAAGCCGCTCTGGCTTTCACTACATATTGGTTGATCTCATCACTCACACCATCAACAGCACACACAACTAACCAGATACGTAAATTTAACAACCACTGTTAACAGTTCATTACAAAAAGACAATTTAATGTACAGGCTCCAGAAATCTGTTAACTAATGCTCGAGAGGAAAATAATATCAACACTTGGATAAGGCCTGATAACACAAAAAGATAGAGTCAAAAGAAATACAGCTCTAACTGAAGTAGAAGCACAGAGGAGAAAGTGAAAAAAATCGACCGATGGGTTTTCCAGGAGTAAGGTCTCGGAAAAGAATGTTGATAAAGCCTATGTATATAAGTCGTTCTGTTTAGGGGTTTTGTATAGCAACATTCGTAGTCTAGGAAATCAGCCTCATAGACAGAAGGAGGACGAATTAAAACCATTTATCATAGCTGTGACGAAAAATTTGTTAGTACATGAAATTGACATTACTATGAAATTATTGGGAATAGGGGATGTAGAGATTGGGGTTCTAATAAACACAAAGGACAGCACACAAATAAAATTATTAGTTTGTGAAACCCATGAGAGCGTGAATTGAGAAGTAATTAGTTGTGAAATTTAGAAGATTGTACATCTATGTCAAGTGTTATCTATTGTGGCTTAATCTGCTCGATTGATTAATTCATTTTAAAATACAATAAACACAATAAAAGTAACCAGTGCCTGGTAGCAGTAAATTATAATGCTTGCAATGTAAATTATAAATATCTGTCCATTAGTGGATTTGATAATATATCCCATAGTTAGCTTCTTGTGAACATTAGATCATGGTTTAGTACTACATGTATTCAGATCCACAGGTGGTGGTTTAAATCAAGGACCTTATTCGATAGACTTAGTACTCATAAACGAAACTGGAGATGTTACCTGTTTATGTATTTTACCATCACTATCTAACAGTGATTATGCGGTGTTGTCGCTGAGTTTTAGAGCCTATGACAGTATATAATCAAGTTCAACTTTACCCAAATGTGTGGTGGGCAAACATTTCAAAGACTAGGGAGTGTTCTGAAGAAACCAACTGGTCAGTTGGCGTCAACTCAAGAAATGAAACATAGCATAATTTTAAAAGTACATTTAGCTTTGTAAACCTTCCCCTCGAAACTATCGATAACCAACATAAACCTACCGGCTGTCCGCCACGGAGGTTAGGAAACCCAGTAAGGTCTTTAATAATGCCTCTATTTCTGTGTCTTGTAATAAAACTGGAAAGCTTTGACATTGATAGAGAGTTTGAGATTGCACTAATGATAGCAGAAAATGAGTGAGGTGCTTTAATATAGTGAGGATCTGTTAAGAGTGGAATTCTCCAAGGGATAATTCTGAGCCCTTTTCTTATTTAATCCACATAAATGATTAATTAGTTTGACTGTGAATGAAATCAAAGTATGGATACCTATAAACAATAAGGTTGATAAGATTATAGAAAAATCTGAATACTATAGTTAAGTGTACATAAAGGCTGGCTTCAGAAGTCACTTATAGCAAGAGTGTAGTAATGAAAATCGGTCAGTGAAAAATGACGCGACTACATGAAAAAATGAAATGCCTTTACTTAGGCTTGTCGATTACAAAAATTTAGAAATCATAGTATGTAGTGACCTAAGAACCACGGGCAACTCTTAGCCGGGCTTTAAAAGATTACTGAGGACTGACTGTAATTCATAGAGCCCATCTTAACTTGAATGAAGATAGAATTTAGATGTCAAACTCGACTAATGTGATACCAAAACTTCTATGGGAACTCCTCTAGTGTCACAGACGTGTGGTTAGCAATTCCACCTCGTAAAAAAAGCACGACCGTATAATCGTTAATCAGAATAAACCAATTAAACTCTGCCCTAGGAGTTGAAAAATCTCATAGAAGTGACGTCTTATGGTGAAAGTCGAAAATCTGCAAATACCACGAAGCCGGTACTTTTTTCAAAACAACAATAAACATACAAACATGAAACGTCCGAACACTGTGAGATTAGTAGTCATTAAAAGGGCCACAAAAATGAAAACGGACGACTTGACCGTGTTCAGGATAAGTAATATTCATTGGACACAAGCTAAACAGAAAAGATTAGCTTCAGGAGAGATGTGGAATTCCGATCATTAAGAAGAAAATGCCCTATACACAAAGAGTTGTACTGATGGTTTCCCAGAAAGCACAAGGAGCACTTACATGAAGAGCTCATATCTTGGACGAAGATATGTTTGGGAGATTAAAATTATCGTATGTTAGACTGCACTTAGAATATGACATTCAAGGAGAGTTTTCCATATTAACAGCGGATATACTAACACGAAATAAACGGAAAGGAACTAATATGCTGACACGTTTTTCTGATCCCCCTATAGAAACAGTGAAGCGTGACTGAGTTCTAGACAAACTAAGCGCTGGGTTGAACAATTCCTACGTTGGACAACAGACCACTGGTCGTTAGTTTGTCGAAAATCGTCAAGGTTAAAAGTGACTAATGCATACGGATCAACTCTACATCAAGGACTGACCCATGAGGCGGTGATCGCATGTTCCTCCAATCTATTCTTATTGATACATTTCTTCACGTTTATTCTATACAGTTAATAAAGCAGCCGCAGTATCTGGATATCACGAAAATGTAATCCACGTTTTTTATTTATTTAAACACATAAACATTGGTACAAGGACGCAACAAATAGATATATGCTACATAAATCATTCTATGTGTGTGAGAGCTGGAATACTGTTCGGGTGCCCAATCCGAAGCAGGTAATGTACTTAGAGGGGCCACATCCAGAGTCCTCGATCTGAGGGTCTGAACCACACGGCAGTGCAGCAACATAAGGAGATGCAGTCCCACGGTAGACGGTGACCAACAATTGCTTCATACGCAATTTGTTCCCTCAGGATACTGGAGTCCATGTGCACCATTGATTTGGAATCAGGGTTTTCCCACTCTCCTAAGTGAACCCTCCGTGTCCACCAACCCACCTAAAGCGTCTGACACTCACTTTCGGCCATCTCAGTTTCGTAAACCACATCTTTACCGTGAGAAAACAGTGATTACGACTTCCCACGCAGTGGTTGTATACGCGTAGCCAAATGGGAGCATTTCCAGAGGGAAAGCTGACTCTCCTCACCCTCAGCCGTACCAAGGGATTTGCGAACAATCCACATTCGGCACTAGCTGCAAGATAATTTTGACGTAAGCTGTGTTACACCATTCCCACCCAACCCGAAAAGACAATGACCACTCACATAGATCACCGGGATTAGTGAACCTCGACGAGATCTGATATACTGCTTGTCCCAAGTCGTAGCACTTTATAACTTTCTTCACATACTGTAAAACTACTTTTGTGTCCCAACTTTTTCTTATATTTATAAATTTTATTCCTAGTATGTTGGATTACAAACCGAACTTTTTAAAAACAAAAACTAATGACTCCCAGTTTGCAAATCAAGCCATATTGCCTTGACAATACCTATTCAGTTTCCAACTTTGTAATTCATATTTATCCCGAGGTCAGGATTTAGTCTCAACTCGTCAATCAGGAAAACTAAAGAGCCTGAGTGAACTTTGAGAAGAATCTAGGACAGATAAAAATCTAGATTTTAAACTGTATTTGTATTTTGCGAAATTTTCGAAAAGATTATTTTGGATTGTCCTGAAATTTACTCTAAATTGTTCGATTTCACCTCAAACGTACCAGCACATGATATCAGATACTTGATGTCCCTCTTTGCTGGAAACACCTGAAACTTGAATCGTTGTTCGTGTTCAAATACAAGTGATACCGAAGCAAAAATGATTCCTCAAATACATTCATGATATTAATTTTTCAGTCGTACACACCAGATAAGAAGCTGAATGAGATCTACAGCGGACTCTCTGGATTCCAAAACTACGTTTTTTATGGACGATACATCCCACAAACTCGCACCCAAAGAGTGTACTGAACAAAAAAACGCAACCTCAACACTATCAACAAGAATTAATAAAAGGACGGCCAATTTTTTATATACAGGATATTTTCAATCAATCCTGCTTGTCACACAATACACATATAAGTGCAACTTACAGAAACCAAACATATCAAGCTTGTTATATTGTGGCCTTTTGAAAAGAAACTATTTGAAGAGTTGCGCAAATTGAAGAGGTAAAACATATAGAGTTTGATCAATCATACATAAACTAGAATCTTCAGAAAAAATTCCGAACACAGTGAATAACCTGTCGAATCATTTAATTTCTCCTTGACAACGAAGTAAAATAATTTATTCCACTTTTCTGACCTTGTATGGGTGATGCCGAAAGTTTACGGCTCAAGCACTATAGCATGCAGTATCCAACCGAAAGTCAGTACCTTATTACAATCATATCTTCACTTCTCTTGGCCTAACAGAGTGTGGGGAAAGTTAGGACAGACCTACATTGTAACTACTACTTGCTACTATTTTCATTTCTTCCATTAATTCTCATAATTACTACATTTACTATGAGTGACTGTAAAAGTTTTTTTTAAAAACGCATGACTTTGGATTTTTTCAGTTTTCTTTTTGAGTCTCCATAGCATGACACACTGATAACTGCTCACAAATACATTGCGGTACACATATGTCTCTTGCTCTCAATTACCTGATATTATGATAAAACATCTATAATATATTTGTTATAAATGTTTACAGATAGTAGTGATATCCCCAATATATGCCATATCTGCATATACATTTCGAATTGTAGCAGCTATGATTAGAGTTATTAACTACTTATAATTGTGGATTACTACACCGATTCCTGACAATTCAAGTAACGTCCAGTATATTTTTCTTGTATATATGGGTTATATTTATTAAATCAATGGATTAATTTTTAGACGTTATAACTTTATCATTATCTTAAAATTGATATGTTCTTGGTCCACCACGAGAGCAATACATTCATGGAACTGTCCTTATAGATCAAATAGTATTAATCGGGTGACCTTATCCGCAACGCAACCATGTAAACTTAATGTATCGCACACTGTCGTTTGTGCGTTCAAGTAACCACAGATTTTTCCATTTCATAATGTATTTTTAATTAAACAACTAGATTATGTAGTTAATTTTGATCTGTTTTTAATTTTTATTCACCAAGTCTGACTGCGTTACACTGTATGTGCATTGCACGCTGGGATGATATCTCAAGTCATAGTGAGTTTATTCACATAGTTGATTGTTTCCAGATAGACTGTCAGTGTATGATTTTACTGAAGAAAGGTTTGTTGTACTGTAAACTATGTTTCTATGAACAACTGCCTGTTGTCTTCAGTATGAAAGCAGTATATATGTAACCTTCTTTTTTTCTTAGGTAAGTTCAACTGGCCTATATTTCCTGTTTTGGTTTTATCGGCTTAATTATGTCCATTTACCTACTTTGAGCAACATGTCTTTGCAAGTGAAACAATAACTATGACACTTGCTTAGTTTAGTGTTCTTGGTTGTCGTATAATTCAGTTTAGTTGAAAGAATTATGATGTATTAAGTATAGTGCTTGAAGCCTGTAACGAAACAGATCAGTTTAGTAAGTAGAGTTGCCTGTTTCCAATGTGTATACGAATTCAGATCAGTCTGGTTAAAAATAGGAAAAAACGTGCCTTTGATGCTGTTGCTGTCATACATTATAAGATAGCGATAAGCATGTTTGGTGTTTATTTCTAAACTGTAGTCCTATCACTGACCATATTTCATGATCACTGTCATTAAACAATTTCCCCAGCAATAACATCGGAAGCAAGATAGCTAAGTGTCTGAGCTTTTAGTTGCCCGCAAAACAGCAGTATACAGTCTTAGAAGATGAGTGTTCTGTGTTTCAATTAAATGCAGCTGGCTGTGGACAAATCTTAAGAATCTTTTTGACAACTGGGACTTTTAGTTTATCAGACACTTACTCTGCTTGTATGTTTTCCTGTTAAACTAGACGCAGATGCATGGGAATACTTAAATGGGAGCAAAATAATAACAGCATTGCAATACGGTACTAAGCCCATGTTATGCTTTGCGCAAGTAATAGTAGCTGACCTTATCTAATATTGATGAACTCCAGGTAAATCACAACTGCATAAATTCTTTGCTAAAAAACATGTGATTTGGTTATTTATATATTCCACATTTCTGACTAAATTCATCAATATTTTTTCTTTAGAATGCAACAGTAGTGAGCCTTCACAGATTATAAAAACTGTTTCGCCCTATGGAACTGTTTACGGGAGATCCAACGAACAGCAGATTATAAAAAGGATGCTGGACTTCCATTTTAGTCTCACAACCACTTCCAGTATTTTGTGACTTCTTTTACTCTTTCGTTTGGAAAAAAACAACAAAAACTGCAGCTTAACATTACCAATACAACTTTTAAACGGGAACTTGGTTTAAACCTTTGTTTGATATTCGATTCTTAATGAAAGTTCTTGAATAAATTTTTGAATCTAATGCTACTTTGTTTTACCTACATAATCGTTGCAAGAAACTTGTGATAAGCGAGCTTCTCAGCACCTAGTTCATGTGTTCAAATGGTTGTGGACTGAATAGAAGAAGCTTTCGCTTAACAGGCTTCCGCGTCTAGTAGCAGGGGATCACCAATACCTCAAGGCAGGAACTTAGGTATGTTAACAATAAAAGAGGAAAAAGAAATAGGTAAATCATAGTATGATACTATACTTAGACCTTAAGAATAAATCCAGTTGCCTCTTAAAGGACTCCTGTGAAGTCGCTTGGACTAGCTCGGCCGGCAGAAAATTCCAGCACTTGACAACTCTTAAGGGATAGAAGTTGTGCCTACAGTCCATTCTGCTATGTTGTGTCTCTAGTTTCTGGGTGCTACCCCTTAGGTTAGTGTTGGAACTAAGCTTAATTTGGTGTTTTAGGGTATGTCCAGGAGTGTTAAGGTTATTGTAAGCCATTAGGTCACCTCTAAGACGTCTATACTCTAATGAGTGGAGGTTAAGTGATTGCAGGCGCTCTTCATAAGGTGATTTGGTGCATATTCTCGTCATTTCCTTGGGAGACCTACAGACTCGGGTCCTCTCATAGCTTATTCTAACCACCATGGGTTGTCACGCCAGCTGATGGATGGACACGCGTTACACATCCTGACCGTACCTGCTTCTTATCTTATAGCTTCTAATTCAAATGCCATATGACAAGCAAGCAATGCCCCTACCCGCACTAATGGAACACTAGTAACTCAAATGCACACCGTATGGTACCTTACACTGGTTTACGCACTCGCTTAGCTCTTTAGTGAAAATCCCATGAACTCCCCTACCTCCATCAAAACAAATAAGTCTGTATTTGCAGCATATAGCAATTTTATTATTCAAAAGTAAGATATAACAGTTAGAATTAGAGTAAAATGGCAGTATACAGCAGATGCACGTGGTATATGTCTTCATCGATTAACTGAAATAGAGAATATGGATATTAGATTAACAGCCTTATTTAGAAAGACTAGTGTCTAATTTGAACTTACTGCGTGAGAAAGTTATACTGGAACTACGAATGTTGTAGAAATAGAGTTTCTCGGGGCGTACAAAGCACTCAGACTGTAAGACAGTTGTCCAAAAATAATTCGAATATGGAGGTGAAAATTTGCAGGTATTTTTCATCATAAGGGTGAACATGTAGTGGCATTGGACAATAACCGCACAATCCACAAAGCCGAACACGAGACTACTCAGAAAATAGATATTCAATATTTAACGCGGATAAATACCTAAGAATGGAGAAGGCGCGAACAATGAATTGAATGGACTGGAGTTGATCGAGTGGCATGGCTCGGCCATGCAGGCGTGGTCTCTGCTGAATGTTACCTTATATCTTCTATTCATATTAAATATATTGTTCTTTCTCTAGCCTAACCTTGTTCTACAGCATGTATTGGTAATTGATACGATACAGTGAGTTGGCGTAGTCGATGGTGTGACTTCCACGTAAGATCTTATAGATTAGGCAGTTATATCATGACGAATCTACAAAATTTAGGATTAGGTCTATTATTAGAGCAGTACTAATATCATAGTAGACCATAGTTCTACATTGGTGAGCCCAACTAAAGAAACGCAACCTGTTATTTTTAATGTTTATTTCCACCTTAACCTTCTCAATCGGTTTTTATTTTCGTAAACTCAGTATTCTAATAGTCCTTTGATTAATGGTGACATATATTATCGTAATGTTATATCTATTAGTTCACATAACTTACTAGCTCAGACGGTAATAAAAGTTGATCATCTATATCAACTAATTAGCTTTGATGGTTCGTTAACAAGCTTTAATAGCATTTACCTGCTTCAGCGACATAGACTTCTTTAAACATCAAGCTCTAGCAAATATGACCTGTAAATAGCGTAAGTATACATTGACTAACAATGCAATCAAGGACTAAATAGTTATCTGGATCTAATTATCAGTGTTCCTTCACCTAACACCATCTTGTTTTAAACTATGCACTATCCCGTAATATCTTTTCTTTTGACCACTGCCTGCCTAATTTCATATTTTCGAGTTCCATTGCCAAACAACAAGGATGACACTTCTCCAAAAACATACGGTGAGTTTCATCTATAGGTTTTCTGCAATCATAAGGTCATTTTAGATGGGTCGTTCAATAACAACCATACAATTAACTGAATTCATTCGATTGTTTTAATCCGAGCGAGTGGCAGAAACGTCAACAGCATCAAGCACCCTGGAATTAATTGCCATACTGCATGTTTTATTCTGGATACTTTTGGATCATTACTACTCCTTACGAATGGCGTTATATATGTCGTCCACTGAATAATCTAATTTTTAGAAATAATCCAGGCGAGTTCAACTATCTTACTTAATGATTTTTTGTACTGAACATATATATGTTTTTCAGTTGCTTTTGCCATATATTTGTAAGTGTCCCTAGGCTGAATGCAGTAACTTATGGAATGTTTATAACGCATCATATTCCTGCCTGAAGTTTCACAAGCAGTCTTAACTTTAAAATTATTTATCTGGTCATGTTCATGCCTTTTAAATTGTCATATACGTCAACAACCTGCATGTTAACCTGGCTCGTA